CAGCCCCAGTCCTGAGCTAGCGGGAGGCCTGGCAGAGCATCCTGCCCAGCCCCCAGGAGGCTTAACCGCTGAGCTGGGATGACGCCCTGTTCACCCTGCCCTGGGTGACCACGAACAGAAACAGGGTCAGTCACACCAGGTGCCCACCCCGCTCTGGGCATGACCCTTCTCCCCCGCACACCTCACTCCCTACCCCCCCGCAAAGACTTCTCATCTGTCAAGAAATGAGGACAAGCCTCTCGGCCCGAATTCCCAAGCAGGACCCTGGGCCCAGCGCCCACTTTGGCCTTGCAATGCGAGCCTGGACCAGTGCCCTCCTCTCTGGGCCTGGGTTTCATTCCCTTTGCTGGGTGGGGTCGGGGGCGGCCTGACGCTGGGTCTGAGTCCCAGGGGAGGGCCTGACAGCCTGGAGGAGGTCCCATCCGGGAAGGTGCCGGGCCAGGGGGCCTAGATGCCATGATCTCATGGTGCCCTCCGTGCACTGCCCAGCCAGGAGACCCCACCCACCAGGCCTCCTGCCCTCACATTCTTTCCATGACCAACCGACACCTCCGGGTCCCATCCGACCACCCCCACCTGGGTGGGCGCTGCGGCAAGTGCTCTTCATCTGGACGGGCCGGCTTAGGGGCAGCTTGGCATAGACGAAGCAGCTGAGGTAGTGACGTGCCCAGGGCCACACGGCAAGGCAAGAGCAGAGCCGTCTCTCAACCCATCCACCAACCACCTCTGCTGCCCTCGCCATGTGACTCTCAGGGGATGGGGCCGTCTCATCCCAGTCTGCCTGCAGGGCCCTTCTCACCAGAGGCCGCCAGTCTCAAGGAGGGGACCCCAGGCACGGTGGGTGGTGGCAGCAGGCTAGGGCAAGACAAGGACCCCTAGGGGCTGGGGGGGCGGCTCAGTGGTGGAGCGATCGCCCAGCATGTGTAAGGCTCTGGGTTCCACTCCAACACCATAAAAAAATAGAAGGGACACTGAGTCTCCTTGCAAAATGAGGCTAACGCAAAGCCTAAAATGGTAGAATCAGTGGTATTTCAGAATATTCCAGAGTTCTGAATCATAGCTGCTCAGATTCCTGGACTTTCAGGGTTGACAGGACACCTCCTGCCCAATTTCTGAATACCCCTCCACAGGATTCCAGGAAAGGGAGCCCAAGTGTAGCAGCTCTGAAGGGCCGGAGGAAGCTTCTCCCCTTGGCCTTCGGCCTGGTTCACCCCAGCTCAGGGAGCACCTCCCACCCCCAGGAGGCACCGCACCCACAGGCCCGGCCTTCCTCAGACTCCTGCACCCTCTTATCTTGGGTGGCTCCCACTCCCACTGTCTCCTTCCCTGGCGAATGGCGTTCCTCAGCCAGAGCTACTCCCCATCCCAGCCGCTCCACCTACAGCATGCGGTGCCGGAGAGAGGGCGTGTACCCAGGCCTCCTGGGAGTGCATGAGCCCAGGAATCCAGGCCGCAGCACAAACATCCCCATCCCTGTCCCTTCCCCATACAGATTACAGGCTCCCACCCTCCCAGCACCTGCTGCCTGGGTCACATTCCAGCCCCCTTACTTCCTAGCTGTGTGACTTTGGGGGAGTTGCTTCCCTTCTCTGTGCTTTCCTCATCTGTAAATGGGAGCACTCACAGTCCTACTCCTGTGGAGTTGGGAGGGTTACAAGTTAATATTTGTAGAGTGGCACAGGGAAAGTATAGTATCAGTGTTTGTTAAGTGGAATAAATAGGTATTTGGGTTCTAGGCATGTCCGCCTTAACCTGACTTATTGCTTGCCAAGGGGGTGTCTATCTGCTGCAGAGGTGGAAGGAGGAAGGACTAATATACAAAAAAGGTAAGGGACTCAGTTTCTGGCCTCTCTACTTCCTAGCTGTGTGACCTTGAGCAAGTATATTCACCTCTCTGAGCCTCTGATTCCTTATCTGTAAAATGGGGATAACGATACCAGGACTAGTAGGTTTGAAATCCCGTCCTGCATGCTATGTATACAAGTCAGTCAACAGGAATGAAACTGGAATAAAAACAGTCTCCCCGGAGGGTCACATGCCCTCTGCCCGGTCCTCTCTGCCCCTTCTTCCACACATGGCAAAAACTACGTCCTGAAGGTCCAGAGGGGCCGAATTCCCTCCCCGCTGGGAACAGGGTGGTGACTCAGGGAGGCAGCTGGTGGAGCAGGAGGAAGTGGTTCCACGGCTAAAAACAGGCCAGAGGCCCATGTGGTCACACAGTCTGCCGGAAGGGCCGGGCTGCCTCCTCGCTTGGTCCTAGCAGAGAGAGGAGAGGCTGGGGCTCCCACTCCCTGAAGACAGCAGCTCCCGGGGGCCCCCTTTCCACACCGGGGCCTCTGCCCTGACTGCTCCCCTCTCTGGAACGCTCCCTCCCACCGGCTCAGCACCCAGAGCCAAGCCAACACCACTCCTTCAGAGAAGCCGCCGACCCTGGTCTGGTTAGATGCCCCCATGCTGGCCCCATCTGCACCCTCCCTGCTGCAGTGCAAATGACTCTGGTGCACAGTCAGGGGCCAAGGACCTGGCCAACCTCTCCAGCCTGAAGGTCAGCACACAGTAGGACCCAGCAAAGGTGTGGAGTTGAGCCACAGAGTCTCGCTCACGCAGCCATCCACTCACCATGGATTAACTCTCAAGGAGCCCCGGGGCTCCTGTCTCGTCCAGCACTGGCCCAGGCCCTATGGGAAAGGCCCCTCCTCAGTCCACACAGGCCCTGCTCTGGCTCTCCCTTCTGCCTCTTCCCAGCGGTCTGTCCCTTCACATCCTGGAGCCACTGATCACACGCCCTTGGGACCCCTCCCTGACCCCCACATTCCTTCTCCCCCAACCTACACGCTCTCCATTCATTACTGCTCTTCAGTGTCTGGGTCCTCCAGCAGAAGAAACACCATGGTGTCCGGGATTTTGTCTATTCGCTGCTTGTCCCCAGCACCTAGAACAGTGGGACAGGGACTGAAGGAGTTGCCGTGAAACAAACAGTCTTTGCAGCCTTCACCCAGGCCCACCCCTCCCCTCACGGAACTTCTGGGTTGACCCTGGGAAGCAGACACTAGCTTTACCCCATTTGCGGAAGGGGAACTGAGGTGCAGGGAGGACAATTAAGTAATTTTGAACCCCGTTCTGTTCTCTGTTACCAGCCCATCTGACTAGAGGCATCTGCGCTCGGCGCTTCCCGCTCCGTGTCTGTCTCCCAGCCTCTCAGACACTCCTGGCCTGGCCTCCCCTGCTCGCTGCTTGCCGCCCGCCGCCCGTCGGCAGGGATCGGTCCACAGCACGGGCGCGGCCATGTTCCTCCTTCGCAACACCCTTGCATGGCTCCCTGTCCCCGAGTCGGCTCCCGGCCATGCCTCCAATGTTCTTCCTGCTCCATCTTCCACAGAAGCCCCACTGGAACGCAGTCCCCTGGGCCCATGACACCATCCTCTCCATCGGGAAAAGCCTGCGCATCATTCGCACCCACCCCGGGCGTCGTTCCCACTGGAGAGGAGAGGAGAGACGCGGTCTGCGCCTCCTCCCTGTCCGCTGGCTTCCCCCATTGCCACCCTCCCACGGGGGTCCCGGGGGCCGGGAGCTCCCTGAGGGCAAGGCGGACTCCTCTCTGGTTGCCCTGAGCGGGGACTTTATGTGGAGGGAGTGACACTGCCAGCCTTCTGTCCTGACTCCACTGTTCACTGGCTGGAAGCCCATGATATGTCCCTATGTCTCAGTTTCCTGGGAAAGTCTGCTGACGAAAACACCTACTCCTAGGGCAGAGATGGAATGAATCGGGACCCAGGAAGCCCCAGGTTCGGTGCTGGTGCCCCATGGCTCCTCCCCACTAGAGTGAGGGCAGGAAGGAGGATGGGCAGAGCAGGTGCACGGGCATCCGCCCAGCTCAGCCCTTGGGCAGGTGGGCACATCCCTGGGACAGCCCCAGCTGCTTCCCACCCTTGGGGTGGCCCCGTCACTGGCAGAATCTTTTCCCACCACTGCCTTGTTGGGCCCAAGGTGGCCGGTGGAATTTGAGGCCACTAGACCCAGACAGGAAAAGGCAACGTCACCAGCCCTGGTGTAATCCAAACCAGATGTGGCCCCAGTGGCTTCCAGACCCTTGGGGGTGGTCACTGTGGGCCTGGCCAGGGCCCAGAGGCAGGAAACGGTCTTGGAGGAGAGCTTGCTGGGCCGGGCCCAGCTGGGAGGAGCTATCCCACCAAGGCTGTTAACCCTTCTTAGTCCACAGGGCCAGGCCAGGGAGGCACAGCCACCTTGCAGGGAGGACCCAGCAGGGGCCCTAGGATGGACACACAGAAGGGGCCCATGCCCTGCAAACTAGACAAGGGGTAGGGAAGCACATAGCCTTGACCCTGGGCCTTGCTTCATCCCAAATCAGCCACGGGCTCCGTCTCTCCACCAGGACAGCCCTAGGAGGAACAGTCTTTCTCCCTGCAGCTGCCCAGGATGGAGCTCTGGTTGCAAAAGGGCCAGACCCACGCCCGCAGAGAGGCAGAGCCAGCCCTGCCCGGGCCCCAGCTATGTTGCCCCCAGTGAGAGCCAAATCTCACTGAAATCCATATTTCCACCCATAGTTTCAGACCTACATCCTCTGCTTCCAGGACAGAGGAGGCCCAAAGTAGGTTCCTGATTCATCAATAAGAGCCAAGAGATCTCCTGCAGGGAGATGGGGCCTGGGAAACCATTACCCCTGTTCATGGTTCTCAGTGTGTGCTTTTTGCCCAGGACATGGTGACCTTTTCTGTGTGGCCTTGGGCAAGTCACTTTCCATCTGAATCTGTCTCCTCACCTGTGACACATGGTGAATGACACCCTGTCCCATCTCTCAACTGTTACAGTGTGGCAGAGGAGAGAAGGGCGGAAGTTATCACTTTCATATGTAGAGACGGAAACTGAGGTTTGTACTAGGAGTCCAGAGTCCTGGGTTCTAGTCCCAGTTGCTGCAGTGTTTGATAAGAGGCCTTCCCTGTTTTTGGCCTCGATTTCCCCAGCTAGATTCAGGCTTTGGATGTCTGCTCTGGCGGATCTCATTTCCTCCCCTCCCCCACACGGTGACTCACCCCTCATCATCGCGCTGTGTGGCCAAGGCTCAGCCTGGGTGGGGGCCAGGGAGGCCGAGAGAGCTGCTCAGAGGAAACCACAGGCCTGACCCAGCTGGCAGGTACAGGCGGCGGGCGGGTGGTTGGAGATCAGGGCTTTGGGGGCCCTGCCCACAAACATACCAACCCCAAGAGCACAAGCCAGGATTTCGGGCTTCCAAGCTCCTGACTGCCAGAGCTGGGCTCAGGCCCCCACTCCCAACCCTAAGTGCCACCTGCCTCGATCGGGACCCTGTACCTGCCTACGGAGGCAGGGCAGGACAGGGTGAGGATGGGAGAGTGACGGAAGGGGTGGCCAGGGGCTCTAGCCTGGGCTCATCAGGGCTTCTCAGGAGGCAGACAGTTCTGTGATTAGGAGTAGGGGCTCTGAGCCTGGTCTCCACCGCTAACCCACTGTGTGATCCTGAGCCAGAGACTAAGTGTCCCTGAGGCTGGGGTGCCTGTCTGAGAAATGCTCACAACTCTCCATCCTGGCCATTTCAAGCCCACAAGGTGACCAGGTACCCAGGGCTCCCAGCATGCTAACTGTTGTCTCCACCACTCCTGCAAGAACCCCAGTCAGCCCTTCCGGCTCCGCTGTCCTCACAGCCAGCCAGGCTCCACTGTACCAGGGTTCTGCCAGCCCAGAGAGGGAGCCCCTGCCCTGCGAGGCTGGCTGAGTGGGGCAGGTTTCAGCCAGAGAGGGAGCAGCAGAGAACAGCTCTGTCCCCCTCCTTGTGGCCCCCTGCAGACCCTGCCTCCTGCTCCCACTCCATGCTCTGGTGAGAAGCAGGGCAACTGGGCAGAGCCTCGCTCTGGGAAACACAGGGCTCTTTCCAGCCGGGCCCCTGGCTTGCTGAGACATCTTCAAGCTCCTCCCATCTCTGAACCTCAGTTTCCTCTTCTGATGAACAGGGTAAGAAAACTGGTGCTCCCCAGAACCTCCCAGCGCTCAGCACAGCCCCCGGTGCTTTGCCTCTGAAGGACTGTGGCGCCCATCAGCCACCTTAGTTCCACCCTGCCTCACTACCTCAGCTTCCCTCGTGAAGTGGAAATAACAATACCTCATAATCTGTCTGTGAGGAGGGACGAGCTTATATCTTGGGTAAATCCTTAGCTAGAGCCTGGCCAACGGTCAGTACCCCATACATACTGTGACTTCCTTAACAGGTGAGGAAACTGAGGCACAAATCAGGGAAGCCGTTTGCCTAGAGCAGTGATGGCGAACTTTTTTGAGCTTTCAATGACACAAACAGCCCACTGCAGCATGCGCACCATAGGTTCACCCAGACTGTGCACGGGGCAGCCCACCCTGAGCCACAGTGCACACAGACAGAGGCACTAAGGTGCCCAGCACACGGCAAGTGCTCAGTGAGCTGCAGCTGCCTGTGAGCGCACACAGGGGCTCGCACAGAGAGCAGGAGGCCACGGCCGACCTGTACATTTATTTACAGGGCACAAGCTGACAGCAGGCTGGGGGCTGCCCAGGGACTTTCACACACCTCCTGGCCTGCTGACCCAGTCATCTAGGCTGAGGATGGGCCCAGAGAGGCGGGATGGACCCAGAGGGTGGGTCGGGCAGGCTCCACCCACAGGCAGGCTCGGGGGTGGTCTCCGCATCCCCCAGGCCTCTTGTCCCCCCTCCACCGGGCCCAGGCTGGGCGCCCTCTCTTTCCCACAGTTCCTGTGTGTTGGTGGTCACAAAGAAGGTGGGCGGGGGCGGGCCGGCCCAGATGGTGCCTTATCTGTTGGGAGTGGAGGCGGCGGGGCACAGAGGTCCTTGTTCACAAAGCCTGCTCTGTCTCCCCGGGCAGCTGGGCTGTCTTTCTGACCCGCCAGAAGCCTCCCATCCACAACCTCGGAAGCCCCACGTGTAGGACCCCCAGCTACTGCACCCCAGGCAGGAGCAAGTCCAGGCCGAGGATACCCCAGGTGGGACAGGGCCACCAGGGCAGCACACAAATGCGGAGCTAGGGAGAAGGCTGGGGAGCGGCTTCAAGGCCCCCGGAGGCTAGGGTGCGGCCGCCGGGCCTGAGCCCTGTCTGGGGAGGCATTAGTTAGCAGGATGGATCCAGGCCACACTCCAGGCGAGGCAGCTGGCGTTGAGGAAGCGTCACTGAGTGGGGGCATGGGGAGCCCCGAGCCTCCGGGCCTGACGCAGCCTTGTCTTGGCCAGCCCGTCCCAGGGACCTGGCCTGCCTGCTCTGGCCTCTGGGCTGTGTGGCCTCAGCCCGGCCACTCTGCGGCTGCGTCCAGGCCTCAGAGCCTCAGACCCCCAGAGCCATCAGGGACCCTGAGCTGGTGATCTTCTTGAAGCGGTTGGCAGCACTGACAGCAATGAAGTTTTTCTAGGGGAGGAGAAGAAGGAATCCTCTTTAGCACTGGCACAGGGGAGAAAGTGTAGGACAGCTGGATGTCCTCAATGTCCCCTTCAGGCTATCAGAGGACAGGGCTGCGCTACCCAAACTGGCCACAGGGGGCGCCACAACACCTCGTGGTCTGGGAATCCTTCCATTCACCAGGCGAATCAGAATCAGCTCGAGTGGAAAGCTCACCTCTCACGTGGGGGACAAGTCCCTCCCCACCCCGCCGCTTGCTCCTCTCTGCCCACATTCCTGCCCGTTGCTCACTCCACCCCAGCCATCCTGGCCTCCTACACGCCCCTCAAACTGGCCAGTGGGGCTCTGCCACAGGGCCTTGGCACTGCGGCTCCCTTTGCCTGGAATACCCTTTCCGCACATTGCCTGGCTCACCCCGCCCTCTGGGTCTCTGCTCACACGCACCTCTCAGCCACCTCTCCCCCACTCCCCGCTCTGCGCTCTGGTGAGAAGCAGGGCAGCTCCCGGGCAGAGCCTCCCTCTGAGAGACAGAGCTCTTTCCAGCCCATCCCACGGCTTGCTGAGCAGCCTTCAAGCTCCTCCCACTTCTGAGACTCAGTTTCCTCTTCTGTTGAGCCAGGATAGGAAACAGGCTCCCAGCCTCTCCCCTGGCACACTCCTGGGTGACCCGTTTTTTTTCTTTTCTAGAGCCCTGCCTTAACGCTTCCAGGAACTCTCCAATCCTGCCAGGGTGAGGGCAGACACTGGGATCCTGTCTCCATTATCCACTGGTGTGTCCTACTGCCTAGATATAGTAGCTGCTCAATAAATATTTGAAAAATGAAGGAAGGGAGCCTGTGATGGGAACAGAGATATTTCTCCAAGCTCCAGCCCCAGCCCCAGGTGGGTGTTCCTGCCCGGAATGGTGGGGCGGGTGGAAGGAGCCCGGCCAGGGCAGACAGAGAAAAGCCAGTGTTGTTTTCCAGACAGGGCCAGGCCTGAGCAATAGGACCCCTGGTTCTGCCCACAGCCCAGCCCTCCCGCCTGGCCAGCAGTACCTTCCAGCGCCTCTTCATGAGGTATTTCTTAAGCAGGATCTGGGACTTGAGGCGGCGGTTGCAGCGCTTGGCCTTCTCCGCCAGGTTGTTTAGCCAGGGGTGGGCCAGGCACTGGGCAGCGCTCATTCGGGCCCTGTGGAGAAGAGCAGCACATCGATTAAGGGAGGTGCCCAGCCGGCAGCCTGCAGGCCTGGTTCCCGTGCTGTGGGCACGTGTGCGAGGAGCTGACACACACAATGAGCCTGCGCACACTGTGAGCTTGCCCGCGCACACGCACACTCATGCACAGGCACAGTGAGCTTGCACACACAGAATCCAGGGCCTAGGTGAGCCTCACCCCTGGTCCTTGACGATGAGGTTGGAGACGAAGTCTTTGGCTTCATCTGACACGGCCTCAAAGGTCTCCTCATCAAAGTACCAGTTGGAAGACAGGACATTGTTTAGGGTCTCAGTGTCATCATCTCCCAGGAAGGGGGAGAGGCCGCTCAGCCTGGAGGGAGGGGGCAGTGGGCAGGGAGATGAGACCAGACATGCTGAGTTGGAGGGGCGGGGGGCAGAGCCTAGGAGGCAGCACCATATGCTAGAAAGACCCCCAGCTACCCGAGTGGGACAGACCTGGGTTTGAATCTGGCTGGGTGACTTTGGGCAAGTCACTTCCCCTCTCTGAGCCTCACTCTTCTCATCTGTAAAATGGGCATAATCACCCCAGCTTCCCAGGGTTATGGTGAAGATGAGAAATGATGAGTGCAAGGCATGTGGCAAAGGCACAGAAATTGCCCGCTGCCCCTCTGCTCCCACCCTGGTTCACCCCAAATCTGCTGTTCAGAGCCTTGAGCTGAGATGCTATGCCTTCAGGGTGTCTTAGTTTTTCCATCTATAAAATGGGTACAGAGCCTCCTTCCCTGGTTGTCCCTAGTACTCCCAACCCTCAGCACATCCGGGGGGATGAGGGAGGTAGGGCCACCTCACCAGACCCCAAGGCCTGTCTTGATCTCCACTGCCTACGCTGTGCCCCAACCGACCCCAGAAACACCTTCCCCTGGGGCTCACAGCATGTAGGTGATGACCCCCAGACTCCACATGTCGGTCTTATCGGAGATCTGGTCGTAATTCACCACCTCAGGGGACAGGAACTCCGGGGTCCCAAAATTCACCTTCAGCTTCTCGTTGGGGTTATACCTGGGGTGACATCAAGAGCTCAGTGCCCCCAGAATACTCCTGGCACCCTCTCCCCTCCCCAAGCCCTGCCCTCCCCACCCACCAGGTGGTACCTCCGCGCCAGGCCAAAGTCAATGATCTTCACCAGGTGTCCCGTGGTGTTGACACACAGGATGTTCTCGGGCTGAGGAGACAGGTGTGGCCCGGGTTGGCCTCTGACCCAGCTCACCCTGCCAGGTCCGCTCCAGACCCTGGCTCCCGAGGCAGAGGCCCAGGGTGACAGGTCCATCAGGCCGGCCTGCTCCCTGTTCTGCAGGGACAGCACGGCCCCAACACATGAGGACAGGGCGCAAATCTCAGGACCATGTGGCAGGCCCAGGGGATTTCCCTCTGTTCAAGGCTGTGCAAGAACAAAGCCTAGAAACTGGGCTGGGGACACTGAAGCCTGCAGAAGAGAGGTGTGCAGGGGAGGCCAGGGCGTAAAGTGCTGCTGAAAACATTGCTCAGCGCTGCCAGAGGAAGCCCTTGAAGCCAAGCCACACTGCTCCCGGCACACTCAGGGACCCTGACTGACCCTGGGCTCTGGTCACCTAATTTCTTTTTCTTTTTTCTTTTTTTTTGAGATGGGGTCTTACAGAGTTGCCAGGGCTCCAGCAATTCTCCTGCCTCAGCCTCCTGAGCCTGTAGGTATACACCGTCACTGAATGTCAACAGCGTGCTCACCCATACTCCCAACAATCCTGTAAGGCGGATTCTGTTACCTTGAGATAAAACTCAAGGTGTGCTGAGATCCAGCTCCCACTCACCCAGGACTGTGGGCTCCACACTGCTGCCAACCAACTGAGTCCCTTGGTGCCCTCTACAGGGTACAGTGTGGTGCACACAATATCCTGGGCACGCTTCCAGGGCAGGGCCCACTGCTTCGCCTCCGTGGGCCCCACCTTCATGCTAACAAAACACCCACTAGGTGCTCAACCAGGGCTCAGCGGGAAGCTGCACCCATGCACAGGTGAGCGTGCAAACGAAGTCATCTAGGCCCCATGTCCCGTGCTAGAACACAAGCACACAGGCCTGACCCCAGTAGGAGAGGGCAAATCTTACAGCTAGCAACAGCTCAAAGGCAGGGATTTCACACCAAGCCAGCACCTCCGGGAGACGGATGCCCTGGGTGCACAGGCCACACACCGTAGAGTGACATAGGACAGGGTTCCCTAGGTCCCCTGGGTCCCATGGGTCCCCTGGTCCCAGGTCTTGGCCACCCTGACCCCCCCCCCCATGCGCCATTCTGCTCTGTCTGTGCTCTGCGGCTGCCCAAGGCCTTTCAGGGCTGCCAGAGTCACTCAGCGGCACACAAGTGACCCGCGGCTCGTGTCCCACTGAACAAGAAAATGAAAGAAAGGTCCTGGGGTGGGGACAATTGAGAGACAGAGCCACCCAAAGCTCCTTGGGGAGAGCCTCAGTCCACACACAGGGTCCTCGGGGCCCTGCAGCCCAGGCACTGGGGAGTGACCTTCAGGCTGGGCACACCCAGCTTTCGTGACTATAAAGCACATTTGTGGTGGCAACCTCACAACTCTCCTGAAAAACACATTTAGGATGCAGAGGCTGAAGGCGGACGTCTGCCTGGGGCACTGCACGTTAATCAGGGACCCTGCTCCAGCCCTGAGCAACTGGCTCTCACAGGGAACAGCAGCCTCCCAAGTCCCCAAGCTGCCCTAGCTCAGGGCCAGGGTTGCTTCTCCCCAGGGACTCAGGGGTCCCTGCCCGCTTCTCTAAGGTACCGGCAAGTCACACTGGCAATCCCACAGCCTCAACCCCCCTGTTTCCCACCTGGCCTTGCTGAAAGCCCTCTCTTCCCCCTGCTGTGAGGGTCGTGCCGTACGCTGAGGCCATGCCGCCCTCTGCAGAGAGGCTCGCACACCTGCCAGAGCAGCACTGACACCAAACCAGCTGGGGCAGTGCCAAACGCAGCCGCAGCATCCCCTGCCCCATGCCAGACCCCGACACGCTGGCCCTGCACCCCTCCACTGCTGCCTGTGAGTCCCCTCCCTCTCACGGACATTTTCATGAACACTCTGGATGGTTTGTAACACTATTTACGCTATTACGTTATGAACGCCTGCTTCTCTGACAATGTACAGGCTTCCTGGGTTAGGGACCGTGTCCTCCTAATCCCTATGGTAAAGCCTATGCTAAAGCCAGGTGTATGGTGCACATCTGTAAGCCCAGCACCTGGAAGGCTGAGGCGGGAGGATTGTAAATTTGAGTCAAGCCTGGAAAACTTAGCAACTTAATGAGACCCTGTCTCAAAATAAAAAATAAATAAATAAAATAAAAAATAAAAGGACTGTGTGAATATCCTGGGTTCAACCCCAAGTACAAACCAGTACACATATATGCTGTGCGAGGGCTGCCTTGCTTGTTACTGGGTGTTGCCTTCCAGCCCGTGTTTGTCAAGTGAATGAATGAAAGCACCACCCAGCTCGTGAACGGTGCTAACATAGCACGTCCTCCCCCAGCGCTTACTCCCATAAGGACAGTGCACACACGGCATCACGCTGCCCTCCCTACTCCATGCCCGGGGCAGCCCCTGGGCTCTGGGCAGCCATGCCCCACAGCAGAAGCTGATGTGGTGCACAAATCCTGCTTGCTCCCTCTGAGCAGCTGCGTGCGTGGTGCTGAGCTGGCCAAAGGGATGTAAATGCTCCTTCGCTAAGCACCACTGTCACTCCAGGTGCAGCACAGCTGGTACGCTCGCAGGGAGGATTTTTACTTCTTTGGGTTGTCCTTTGAACTCCACCGCTCAGCACGCTGCCTGGCATCCAGCAGGCGCTCAACGGCATTTGTTGGCTTTGAATACACGAACAAACACTAGAAGTCTCTATCACAGCCCAGTGCTGAGGCAGGCGACATTCCTGCTTGGATGCGCGGACACGGAACTCGGGGCTCCCGGGACAGTAGCAGACCCTCACAAATTCTTAGTACTGGGCTGGGAGCAACGTGAGCACTGGGACCTGGGACCGTGTCCGCCCGCCCCATCTGTCCCTCTCTGCTCTGGGCAATAATTACTCGGTAAACCCTTTGGGGCTACGACTGGAAGGAGGATGGAGAGGAAGGATGGAAGGGGAGCGAGGCCGTGCCCACACCGACCCCGCTGCAGGCGGAGGCCCAGTACCTTCAGGTCCAAGTGCAGGACCCTCATCTTGTGCATGAAGAGGATCCCGTCGCAGATCTGCCTGACGAACACCATGGTGTCCACCTCGGTCAGGTGGTAGTCCTCATCCACAATCCTCTCGAAGAGCTCCCCGCCCTCGATGCTGTGTGCACAGAGCCCTCTGCAGGCCGCGCTGGGCTGAGGGCGCCCGCCCCACCCCCACCCACAGCCAGCACTCACTACTCCATGAACAGGACAATCTCGTTCAAGGTCTCGATGGCTGCGTAGAGCTGGATCAGGTTGCGGTGGTTGAGCTGGTTCATAACCTCAATCTCCAGCATCACCATTTCCTGAGAGCGAGGGAAGCCAGAGGACCGGGCCTTCATCACCATTCCACACCCCTGGCCAGACCCGCGGGGCTGCTGACCACTGCCCTCCTCACCCTGGGAGTGCCCTGGCCCCCTCTCCCATCAAGCCCCTGGCTTTTGGTTCCAAGACACCCCTGGGCTCTGAGCGCGCCCTCCCGCTCCAGACCCCCCAGAGCAGCTCCACTGTTCCCCTGGAGGGCTGAGGAATTGTGAGTCCATTGTGCCCCCGATTAAGCCCTGATAGTCCACAGTGGCCTTGTCTCTGGCTGCCCATCGCTGAAAGGATGCCAGGCTTCACCCGGGCAGGCAGGACCAGGAGTCAGGAGCTGGCAAGGGTCCCCCTTCTCTCCCTTCTTTGTGCCCCACTTTCAACCCATCAGGAAGCACTGTAGCAAAGTCCACCTTCAAAGCCAGTTAGAAGCCCAGTCCCTTCCCTCCTCCACCACTGCCCTCCTAGTCTAAGCCACCTTTCAGACTTAACATTTTATCCTTATTATGACACTATAAGAGGCTGGGTAATTTGCTCAACCTTTTCTTTTATTCCGGTATCAGGAATCGAACTCACGACCTTGCACTTGCCAGGCAGGCGCTGTGCCGCTGAGCTAAATCCCCAGCCCCTAAGCCACCTTTCAGCAAGTGTCACCCAGCTGTCACACTGCTGTGCCGGGAGTGGTGGCAGGAGACTTACACCAAGAAAACTGTCAAATGCTCCAAATCAGGCCTCCGCCTCCCGCTCCTGCCTGCTCGACAGGGCTGCTAGCTAAGCACTGGCCATCGTGAGGCTCTGATGGCTTCTCTCCCCTCCCTCCAGGCCTCCCCTCCCACTTCCTCAGGGAGGTCTCGTCTGAAAGAACTCCACTGGCCCCACGCCCCCCCGTCTCTCACCTGGTTTTGTTTTTCTTCCTAGCCCTTCTCAGTAGCTAACACCTGGCTTTTTGCTTTTAGGTTTTAGTTACCTGTCCTTGTACCGTAGCCTGTCAGCCACAGGGAGACAGGGACATTTTTAGTTCCCTGATGTTTCCGCGGCCCCTGGCCCAGAGAATAGCTTAGAAAAATCACCCAGTCATCAGTTAGCGACAGGAGCTCCCCCTAGTCCACACAGCACAGGGGCCATGAGCTTCTGTGCCCTGCTGGCACTGGGGCAGAGAGGCCTGGGAGCAGCGGTCAGTAACCGGGTCCAGGCCCGGCAGGTGGCAGGGGTGGAGAAGAGCGCAGCCACACAGGAAGCACCAGTCCTGCTGCCGCTCTTAGAGCCACAGAGGGGGGCCGGGCTGTGGCTCCTGAAGCTGCTTCTCCGCTCCGGCTGGCCCTGAGCCTTTGCGCACTCAGCTGCCTCTGCCTGCGAGGCCCACAAGCCCACTTCTCAGCGCCCCTGCTGTGTCTGTCCCTGGGGCCTTCCCTCCCACAGCCTTCTTTTCTCTTCCAGGGCAGTGCTCCACCCCTGAGCTGTGCCCCATCCTCCCTTCCCTTCCTCCTGAAACTCTCCCTGCCTCTCGCAGAGCATCTCTACATTCTGCAGCCCTTCCCTCAGGAGGAGCTGGTCTGGGAATCTTCCCTGAGCCCCAGCAGAGGCAGGAGCTTGCCCTAGCCCTCACCCATACCCCTCTTCCTGAGTTTCAGCTCTGACCACATTGGCACCGATGGGCCCACCTCCCCACATGGCACCCTCACTTCTCAGAGCCTGTCTGCGTTTGGTCATCCGTTCCGGGACGAACGGCTCCTGGCCTCTGAGCTGGGCCAGGCACCGCCGCCATGGTGTCGGCCCCCTGACAGCGGGGACCGCAGCCCGCTCTCTGTAGTGCTGCTGACTGAATCTGGGCCTGCAGGGATCGGTGCCCCGCGACGCTCATGAACTGCGGTGTCTGGATTGCGGGTGGGGTGTCCAGGCCCTGCAGCAGGCCGCGTGTCTGTCCACCTGTCACTCTGTGTGACATCACCAGTGCAACCCGTTTCCAACACCAGGCTCTGGGCCCAGTGGTGCGGGTGGAGAAAGGTGAGAGGTGCCCACTCCAAGGTCCCCGCCTCCGGGGCCAGGCGTCCCCCTGCTACCTTGTCTTTGGGGGTCTGTTTCTTGATGACTTTGGCTGCCAGCCTGAGGCCTGTGGCTTTCTCCGTGCAGGTACAGACTGCTCCAAACTTGCCCCTGGAGAGAGAAGTAGCTGGGCACAAGGAGGTTCAGAAGGGCAGAGGGGGCATGCGGATCCCACGCGCTGTTCCTGCCTCACCCCGGCCCTGATGTCTCCTCTGGGAGGTGGGAGCACGCACCTCAGCCAGCCCGGACTCAGCCCCAAAGCCGGGAGCCGGCCTGCCAGGGCAGTGGCTCTGTGGATCAGGCAAAGCATGTGCTCAGACAGGCCAGGCTGCCGGGGAGGACAGCCCTCGGATTCGCCCTTACAGGCCTAGGGTGGGCCGAGCTGGGCCCTGGAGTCGCCCTCAGCCAGCAGGGAGGGAGCAGTCTATTAGAGGTACCAGCTGGAGCCAGGGCTGTCTACAGAGCAGGAATCACCCTGAGGGGTCCCTGGGGTCTGGGACCAGAGACAGACAGGAGACACTGTCTGCTTTGGGAGCACTGAGTGACCTGTGCCCCACAGCGACAGTGCGCAGGAGCACATGACAGCTGGTGCACGACCTGTGGAAAGCGGCCGTGTCCTCGTCCAGGCCTGGTGCGTCCCACCCATAGGGCGGGGTGCTGTGCTGCCCCGAGTCCCCCCAGGGGTGGGGATCTCACCCTCCCAGCGCCTCCTTGGAGTTCAAGCTGAATTCGCTGTTGATGTTTCCGGGCCGCAGCTCCACGACGCGGTGCGGGAAGGGGGCGGGCGGAGGGGGGCAGTCGTCTGCAGAGCAGAGCAGAGTCGCCGGTCAGCATCCGGTCAGTGTCGCCGGTCAGTGTCCAGGCTGCTGAGGATTCCCCTGCCTGCTTGCCCCCGCCCTCCGGGGAAGTTCAGTTCACCAAATGGTACCTCGGGACACCTGGCTGCAGGAGAGGTGCTGAGGGACCCAGTTTCCGAATTGAGTTCTGCCCGCCCCCCAAGACGACCTTGGAGGCCTCTGCCCCTCTCAGGGGGACCTGGCTTCCAGCAGAACAATGAGGTCACTGATTGGACTTCTTAGACACTCCCCATTATAAATGCGAGGATTCCATCCCATATTATCTTTGTTTCCATTAAAGAAACCATCAGACTAACCAACACAAACCGCACCCATGGAACTAATCTCGGAGCGGGTGGTGAGACCCACCCACCCCTACGTCCCGGCCACGGAGGAACCATCTGTGGGGTGAGGTCGTCACCTAGCGGCAGTTTGGGGAACAGCGAGCCCTGAAGGCCAACAGGCTGAGTCATCGGGAATGGAAACCTCTGTATAAATAGCCAGAGGCCACAGGGAAGCCGGACTGGTGATAAATCAGACGGCCCTTGGAGGAGGTTCAGGGCCCGTCACGCCAGGATGTGATCTCAGGGCGGGGCGGAGGTCTCTGCCGCTGCTGGGGGCAGGAGGCAGGGCCCCTGGCTGCCTCCCAGCCGCCAGGTCCTCCCACCCAGTCTGGGTGGCACTGTGCCGCTCACCAGGCCAGGCCAGGCCAGCTGGTAGGTCTCCCAGAGCACCTCGGCCTGGAGGGGGTGTCAGGACACTCCGGGCTCTTCTGACCCCGTCTCACCCCCACCCCCAGCCCTCACCCTCTTTCACCGCTCCCCCAGCGCCCTCATGCTCGGTGCTCTGCCACGCACCGAATGAGCCCCAGTGGCCCCACGGGGGCCTTGTCTGAGCAACCATCGGGGCCGCTCTGCTGTCTGCCCCATCTCTCATGACCGGCTGCCTTGGTCACTGACCGCACACGGACACCTTGCTCCTCAGCTCGTGAACCCTCTGTAGCTCCCATGACCCACTCTCCCAGGCTATAGTTTAAGCCTCTGAGCCTTTTGCATTTGAGGCTTGTTACAGATTGACCCCCAGTTCCACTGCCCAGTCAGTTGGTGTTGCTTCAGTATTCTGCCTGATTTTGGTTGGTTGGTTGAACCTTATTTTAACAACAACAAAAAAAAGGAATCAAAAGTGACTGTGGGGCCAGTCCATCTTCACTGTGTGTTTTGGAGCACTTAATTTCCCTTTTTCCACTTCCAGCAAAAGGAAATACTTCCTGGCGCAAGTGAAGTTAGACAAGTGGCCTGGATGAAGCCTGGCCCGGGGCACATCACCCCCTGAATGGGGACACTTGAGACCGATTGGGCCCCTCCCCCACCCCCGGGGCAGCCCAGCCCCTGCCAGCGCCGCCTACCCAGAATCTGGAAGCAGTCCTCCTCCCTGGCTTCGAGACCGGGACTGAGGGCCTGCCCCACCTCCGCGCTCTCCGAGGGCACAGCCTGGAACTCGATCCCCCTCGAGGTGTCCCCTTGCACCTTATCCTGGCCGGGCTGGCCTGGGGCTTTCTCTCCAGCTTCCTCCCGGCTCCCTGCCACGATGTTCTTCTCTCCTGCGTTGGCTAGCCCAGGATCTGGGGGGCCAGGAGTGACGGGTACCCCTTCAAAGATGAGCTCTGAGGCCTCGCTGAGGGGCTCTGTGACCAGCAGCTTCTCAGAGCTGGAAGGTAAGAAGTGAGGTGAGGCCTCCGCAGCCACCAACCCCAGGCCTTCCGCAGGGCTTGGTGCTTCTGGACCTCCTCTGCAACCTGCAGGGGTCCTACTCTGCCCAGAGCCCCCCGATTGACTCTGTGCAAGATCCAGGGATGGCGGCACTCTTTACAGTGACTATCGGCACACTCACAGATCATTAATGACAGTAAGATGGTTGATATGGTTCATCAACATGCAGTTGCCATGAGGAAATTACATAACTCAATTCATAAAAAGTTGGGATGTAATTGATACTAATACAGAATTATTAAATTGATACGATGTTATTACAGCTTATAATCTGTCATTAAGACCTCATTAGCATTGGGTGTGCATATCTGATTGCATCATAAGACTAGTGCTGCTATGGCTATGAAAGTCTTGACAATGATCTATAATCTGTCAGTCATCTTCTCATATTATGGCAATAATTGTATTAAAATCCTTCCCTCCTAACATGTCTGCCCTGCCTCTGGCTAGAGCCAAGCCCACAGAACAAGGGGAACTCTGTGCCCAAATGCCTCCCTGGAGAAGAGAGGAGAAATGCATCTGTGGTGGTCTTTGCAGACATCTCCTGTCTGAGATTCCAGGCCTCTATGAATAGTGTTGGTCAGGTCCTGGGTTCCAAAAGGACAATGTGGCAAAGCCAGTACCTGGGGCAGAGGGGAGCTGAGCATCAGCACTACCTTCCCCAGCACTGAGTGGGAGACCAAAGTGCCCGACAGAGGAACTAAGGGTGTCCCTAGGGAAAGAGAGCCACGAGATTCCGCCCACTCCCACCAGGAGCATTCACCTTGAGAGGATGGCAGGGCAGCTGGGGCTATGCAGAAAGGCGGGAGAGCCCCTCCTGGCCGCAGCTTGGCACTCTGCCGCCTTCCTGCCCACCGTGGGCTCTCCAGGCGCTTGGCTGCCCAAGGGTCCTTGCTCAGCACTGGGCTTCTTGGCACTGGCCTCAGCTGTCTCAGTCGGCTGGGGCAGGGCTGCCGGCTGCCCAGCATTGCCCTCTGCAGGCCCCCCACCCTGGTCAGCCTCTGCCTCAGGGCCCTGGCTGCTGGTTGAGGGCTGAACTGGGACACCATCTCCTTTTTCTGGGGCAGGGGCTTCGGCATCTTTCTTCAGGGTGGATAGGTCAGGATCTTTCTTGGGGTCTGGGGAGCCGGGGTGTTTCTCTGCAGCCGGAGGTCCTTCATCTGTAGCACTATTAGGAGCCTTGTCTACAACGAGGGAGATGTCTGTCAGGCTCCACCCACCTTCCCCCACCCCACCAGCCAGGCTGGACAGAGATCAGCCCTGGGCCCAGGTCTCCACCCAGGCAACAGCTTGCACATGCTGGTGCAAGGGAGCCACTTGGTGGGCCCCTGAGACGGGCTGCCAGGACCTCGGGGTCTCTGTGGGAGGGTCTGGTCCACAGGCTGGGTCTTGCTTCCCTTCCCTCCGCTCTGCCCAGCGTGTCTAGGTGCATTTCCTGCGGCCATCCGCAGAGGCTTCCTATCCTCCCAGTCTCTCCAGGGAGGGCTTCATGCAGGACCTGGACCCAACCCACCCTTACCCGGAGATCGTCCTGATTCCTGAGTTCCCCATGCACCATGCAGAGAAACCGTGGGCACAGAACTCTCTCTGAGGAACCTGCCCAAGCCTGAATTCAAACACCCCTTCCCAAGCTCCTCCCTCCCCCTCCTGCCCTAGCTTAGCACCTGTTGACTTCTGCATTCCCAGCCCGACTGCTCCATTTTCTGTCGCCATGAAGTAGGAGGTGTGCGCTTCTGTTTGTCTAACTCAAGTCTTTCTAGCTGCAGAAAGAAGAAAGGTGTGTTGGGCCCTGGGTTACCTTGTCTGGCTGTGGCAAGAGGAGGCCAGGACAGCTGACTACGGGGAGAGACGTACCTGGAGCAGAGAGGAGCCACCTCTGGCGCTTGTCTCGCAGCGGCTACTCAGGAGCAGTCCCAGGGCGGTTGTAAGGGATTGGGCCGGGTGGGCAGGGGCAGAGGCAGGGGTGCGGGCAACGGAGGCGGGGACGGAGAGGAGGATCTCTTACACCAGGGGCCATGCAGCTCGGGCTGCCACCACCTGTCACTCTTGGCCCCTGTTCAGAGGACACAGCATTCTTCCCACGGCCTAACGGGTGGAATGGTGTTGGAACAAGCAGGAAAAGAAAAAAGAAGGGGGTACCTGGGGCCCTGGGGGGAGCAGCCCTTTCCCCAGGCCTCACCCAGGACCCCCAACTTGGATGGGATCAGAGGGGCATGGAAGGAGAGAGGGCCTTGAGGTAGAGCTAAAGGGCAAGACCATGCCCGGGCCTGGGCTTGGCTCTGCCCATCTGCATGCCACAACTCCTAGGGTTTCCCAGAACCGGGAGATCCGCACAGGTTCAGGAATAATCAGCCTGAGCCCAGTGCCCAGCTCTGTACCCTTGGCATCTGGACCTACTCGGACCATCTTTGGGTAAGAAATTGTCTCGGGGGCACTTGCTTAGTACGTCCACAGGCCCAGAAACTTTATCCTTAGAAAATCTTCTCAGGCTCCTGGGCTGTGGGAGAGGGCCCGGGACCCATGCTGCTCCCCCATCAGAGCCTGTCCTCTCCTAGCACAGAGAGAGTGGCTAGTGCAGGGTCTTTTCTAGACCCACTTCACTGAGATGGGGATCACAGCCCCGGGTGCTGAAACTGTGCTGGGATGAGAGCGCTGTGCTCCAAGCACCTTCCAGCACCAGGGCTGCTTGCCCAGCCTTTCCCTGGGGGGCCCTGGAGAAGTGGCCAGCGCTGAGGGCTTTGGGAGAAGCAGTGCAGTGGGCGTCTGGGTTCAGGTACTGGCTGGCAAATCACCCTGCCACCCGCTCAGCTTCACCATCAGATGAGGAAAGTGCCCAGCTGCTGCCCTTACACAGAAGGCAGCGAGAAGCCAGCACCTGCATGCACGGGGGAGTATGCAGCTGCCCAGAGGCTGGAGGTGCTGAGAAGTGACCTCCTGGCGTGGGGGTGCAGAAGAGGTGAGCGCGCTAACGTCTATGCAAACGGGACCGGGCATGTAACATATACTTCGTCACTTTATATTCATAAGAATTTCTTTGGCAGAATAGGCAAAAACCTGGGAACCAAGGCTGGGAGGAAAATGTCGCTGTGGGGCCTTTTACTTTTTTGTTTGAACCACTATGTGAACACATTACATGTCAAAATGAATAATTTTTTAGGGTAAGTAGAAGAATTTGATACAAGTTAGCAAAAGATAATGCTGGGGCTCCCTCCCCAGTCCTGACAGCCTCAGCTCCCTCTGACCCTCCTCTCTAGGCCCAGCCCTCCTCTCCTTTCCCTTCTGTGAGGTCCAGTTGACAGCCTTCCTCTTCCAGGAAGCAAAAATAACTAGCATTCCCCAGTACCAGGCCTCACTCTAAGAGCCCTATGGAGATTCGCTTGTGCAGTCTTAACAACCCGGTAAGGTGCGGAAACTGATGCAGAGGGGGAAACTGAGGCAGAGGGGTGCAGTAACTTACAGAGTCACATGGGTTATAAGAGGCTGAGCTGGTCTCCGAACCTCTGCTCCCCTGAGGGAAAGGAGCTCTCATTTACTCAGCACCACTACTAGCTTTATCCAGCTTGTCTTTACACATTGTCTTGTTAATAACTGTGGGCAGCATTCATCCCACTGGGATGGGGACAAGGAAAATTAAAGGAATAGATAGCTTGCCCTCTGTCACTCAGCAAAAGGAGGTCTGGGGTAAAGTCGGTGGAAGAGCACTTGAGCACATGAGCCCCTGGGTTCCAGCCCCTCCCTAACACTGCAGAACACATGAACACACACACACACACACACACACACACACACACACACAGGGCCAGGAGTATATTCCAAAATCCTCTTTCCTCCCTGAAGTTTCCCAGCCTGGCAACCCACTATGTGAATCTCAGTATTTTAAAGGTCGAAATGCTTCCTGTTCACACCTGGGATTGGACCTCTTGGCCCTCTATTGGGCTATCCCCACAGCTTTCTCTGGTTTGGGCTGAAAGTTTGAACACCCGCTTCCTGACCTCCTTCAGTGCCCCAGGCCAACCCCACTGCAGATGAGTCTGGGCAGGGCTGCGTGATGCCCATGTGTCCCCAGCACAGAGTGTGCCTGCCAACCCATCTCTGATGAGTAAGTAACTGAGTGACCAGCAAGACTCTGGACCCGGGTCTTGGGGTTACTTTACTCTGATGGCCTTGTTGACACCCTTCACTGTTGCTGTGGCTATCAGCACCTGTCTTGTACTGGGCACACACCTATAATCCCAGCACTCAGGAGGCCAATGCAGGAGGATCACCTCGAGTTCGAGGCCAGCCTAAACTACCTAATGAGTTCAAGATCAGCCTGAACTACCCAGCAAGACCCTGTCTCAAAAAAACAAACAAAAAAACCCTATCAGGTACTGACTGCCCACAACTGTGCCAAGGGCTTTACCCTGCTCCCTAGATCCTCAGGGAGGATAGAGCATTTTAAAGATGCAGAGAAGCAGGACATGGTGGCGCACGCCTGTAATCCCAACACTCCAGGCTGAGGCAGGAGGATTGTTACAAGTTCAAGGCCAACCTGGGCATCATCGTGAGACCCTGTCTCAAAAAATACATAAAAATAAAAGAAGAGAGATGCAGACTGATGCTCGGAGAAAGTAAATGGCCAAAGTCACCACCTAGCTTAGTGAGTGTTTTCAAACTACCCAGATTCAAAGCCAGAGCAACCTCGCAATGAAACCAAAACTAGGGTGAGAACTCTTTCCAGAAGAGCCTGGGACCTGGGGTAAACAATTGAAGGTCCTTTTAATCCTTTTATTTTGGTCCTTTTAATCCCGATAGTGACACTGCTGGGAAGTGGTTAGGGGCTCTGTCAGTGGAGCTCCACGACCAATAACCATGAGCTTGGAAAAATGCCTTCGGTGGTCGCCTGTGTGCAGAGCCAGCATCTGCCCAGGGGAGGTACACAAAGCATTTAGAGCTGTATGGAGTGCACTGTGTAGGTGTCAGCCATCCATCCCCATTTCACAGATGCAGCAGGAAAACTGAGGCATGGGCAACATCACAGAGCCGGGATTGAAACCACCTAACCCAAGGCTTGGCTCAGAACCATCGCCTCCCGCACACAGAGTGGCTGGGGATGAGTAGCCAGCATGTGTATGTTGAGTGCTCGGCACAGTGTGGCAGGTTATGGGGTTTGATAACGCTGTGGGCACCTGAGGTAGAGGGCTCAGCTGTTCGTGCCTGCTCTGCCATGCCTTCTGCTAGGATAGGAGCCTGGCCTGGTTCCGGATCCGTGGGATGGCCTGCCCCAGCCAGCTGCTTCCTGGGAGTCCCCAAACTGCTTCTCAGCACTCTTGGAGGCACAGGAGTGGAGCACAGGGAAACCTCCAACCGGCTAAGGGTTGCCAAAGCCCCTGCCCACCCTTATAAGAAGGGGCTTCCCTGCCCTGCACCAACTGCAGATATCCTCTGCCTCTCCAGGGGCAGGATAGGACACGGGGCAATGCCAGGACCAATTAAACTTGCCCGGGGAATTCAGGTCAACAGGACGCAATTATGCCTATTGGATTTAACAAGGCCAGAGGGGAGGCTTCTCCAGCCAGGGTTCATGGCTCCTTAGGCCTCTTGCCCTGGTATCTGCCTTCCAGGAGCCCAGGCACCAAGGCTCATCCGTCTCGAGTTCACTGGGAGTGGAGGAGTTAACTCTAGGGAGCACTGCGTCTTTGGCTCCTAAGAGGAAATTGGTCCAGCCAAAGGCTTTAAAAGGACCTGCTAGAAGAGACATTCTCTGCCTGACCCCTTCCCGGCTCTGCTGTGATGGAAAATCCAAGGAGTTGAGCAATAACCTTTCTGACTCCAAAGAGAGCAGCCAGCTTCCCTCGTAACCTCCACCCTGGGCCTGACTTGAGAGTCACTCAGAGCCGTCATGAGCAAGTTGTTTTCTCTTGCCCTGTCCCAACTTTGGCCTCTAAGCCCAGCCTTGACGGTACCTATGCCCTGCCTGGGCTCTGGAACAGCCCTCATAAGGCTTCTGTCATTATGATAGCACCTGTTCTTATAGCTAAAGCTGATGAATAGAGATCTATGGGCATTCCGTGCTGCAAAATGGACACAGATTTTCCTGGAAGCCTGACATACTATCCTGCCCCAAAACTGTAGGATTTTATGGCCAAGATAATTGAGTGTTCAACTCTGTGGCAAGGACTAAACCAGTCACTTTGGAGACAAGGGGATAAAGTTGGGGGAGGGCCGTAGAATCACATTATATTGCATTTTAGGTGAAAAAACTCATCCATGGAGTAAGATCTTGTTATTAAAAATGAAAGACAGCCAAGCATGTTGGCAAACACCTGCAATCCCAGCACTCGGGAGGCTGAGGCAGGAGGATTGTTGCAAGTTCAAGGTCAGCCTGGGCTACAAAGTGAACTCAAGGCCTGCCTGAACTGCATAGCGAGACCCTGTCTCAAAAACAAAACAAAACAAAATAAAAAATAAAAATAGAAGATATCTGGGGGTATATAGGTACTTCTTAACAGGTGTGAGAATGGAAGATTTTTATTCTTTAATTTGCTTGGATTTTCCAATTTTTAAAAATGATCCTTTGTAACAATGGTCAGATCAATAAGTCAAAACATAACAAATTCAAGGCAGAAAATAGGAAGAACAATAATAAGATACGAAACAGTGGGATTTCAGAAGCAGAGCCATTGGAACTGGTGGTCAGGGGTGACTTCTCAGCTGAAGGTGTGGTCAGAACTTCAGAGAGCTCACAATTCTATCCCCTTGGGCTCTCAGCAGTGCCTGAAGCCCTGGAGAGTTTAACATAAAGGTTGCTGAGACTGGCTCCAGGACTCAGTCTTTCTGAGCAGCATTTCGGGTGATGTGCACACACATGCAAGCTTGAGAGCTTCCACATCAGAGGCCTACTCCTTGGAAAAAGGGCAAGAGCCCTGGAGCAGGACCAGCTTTGAGGTGTATCTCCTCCTGATAGGTACCTGAGGAGGACACCTGTCCCTATAGCCAAGGGCAGCGCTCCTCAGCCCCGAGGCTGATGCACGTTCGTTGGAAAATACCTGGAGAATTTTCACAGCCAACAAATCAGAGCACCTGGAGGTGGGCACAGGATGGTGGTGTGTTTTTGTTTTTTTTTTTTTAAAAACCCTCCCCCTCCCCTAGAAGGGTAATCAGGGTTGACTACTCATCCACCCAGGGTTGAGGCTTTCCCAGGCTGGGAGCCACATCTTACTGCCCTTAAACGCCTCCTAGGAGTTAGGATAAAGTGGTACATGTGGTGGGTGTTTCTTGTGATTTGTGTCAACCATGTGTCCCAGCATGAGGCTCTTTGAGCCCAGTACCCGCTCAGAACACACAGGGTCCATTTCTCATTCAGTCCATATATCAAGCAAGCATCTAGTTCAATACATGGTGCCCATGTGGTTGATAGTAATATTGCTCACAGGTACTGTGCACTTACCATGTGCCAGACGCAGGTGTAACTCCTCTAACCTTGGCAGTAGATACCCAAGAAGAAACTGAGGAACACGGAAGGAAACTTACCCAAGGTTGCAGAGGTAAACAGTGGGGCCAGAATTTTAATCCACCCTGTCTGGCTCCAGAGCCCTTCTTCATACCACAAAAAAATGCCAAATGAAAATTACATTTTATATAGTACTGCTGGGATTGAACCTAAGGTCTTTGCATTGAGCTGTAAGCCAACGCCTTTTTTATTTTATATTTTGAGACAGGATCTCGCCAAGTTGTTAAGTTGCCCATGCTACGCTTGAACTTGTGATCCTCCTGCCTTGGCCACTTAAAGAGTACTGGCATTACAGGCATGTGCCACCCATGCCTGACTGAAAAATAAATTTGTGAGCAAAGAATATTTAGGGACTGGGAGGTAGCTCAGTGGAAGGATGCTTGCTTAGCATGTGTGAAGCCATGGGTTTGGTTCCCAGTACCTTTAAAAAAAATAAAAGAATATTTAGACTGTGTCAGTTGTATTGCCCCAAGGCTCGACATTCTATAGCAAAGAATAAATGGTTCTACTTTGGTAGGGCTCTGGGACAAGGGGAATCCAAGACTAGTCCCTCCTTCTCTCCTACCCCAGCCCAACTTCTGCAACATAAACAGCAAAGCTAAAAATAGCCACCTAATGACGTCAGAGGAACAAGGTCATCTGAACATTGCCACAGCCACTGGACACCTCCCTATAGGATCAAATAGCAGGAGGGTACCCCAGGCTGGTGCAGCTGTTCCAAGAACAGGAAATGTCCTAGGAGCAGACCTGGAAGCGCTGCCATGTGAAAGCAGAGGTAGCCCGGCGGAGGAGCAGGCAATACAGACGCACATCCAGACTGAGCGGAGCATAGACCCCAGATTAAGAGTAATTTGACTTTATCTGCACTAGAAGTCATTCCCATCATTCGATCCCAGGAAATGGCTCAAGAAACTGAGAATGCGTGCTGTCCTCGTGCACAGGGGCAGCTTCTCTGCCTGCCGTTTGCTATTTTTAAAGTCTAGGTGTGCTTGCTAAACCGGGTTACCATAAGAACTAGGGGATGCATGGCAAGCTGAGGGGCTGCTAGAAGAGGACCCAGCCTGGGTGGCAGGGGGCATGCCCATAAAGGACGAGGAGGGGCTGGGAATGCTCCTGGCTGCAGTCTGGAACCTTGGCCATCACTCTGGCCTGCGGAGGCATGTGGCTTCATGGGCTGGCAGCTGCCGCATCCCTGACAGGAACCTAAGCATCTGGCCCAGTCTGAGGAGATGCCTGCTGTGCAGATGGCAGGTAAATGTGGGGTTCCGGGCTGGGGATTTAGCTCAGCGGCAAAAGCGCCTGCCTGGCAAGCGCAAGGTCGTGAGTTCGGTTCCCGGTACCGGAGAAAAACCAAAAAATAAAAATAAAAAATAAATGTGGGGTTCCTCTGGGAGGCTGGGCTGGAGGTGCTGCCGCAAGGGCTCCAGCTCACACAAATGGATCAGGTACTGTCCTCTGGAGCTGGCTCCGCCCAGGGGATGCAAGCTGGAGTGGTAGAGCATCCAGGAACAGACAGACCTGGGTCCAAACTCCGACCCTGCCATTTCTAGCAGGGTGACTTTGGATAAGAATGCCAAGCCTCAGTTTCCTCATGTCATGTGACCTGTTGGAAGGGTGTATGGAAAAGCATTCTTCCTTCTTGGGCAGGAGATAAATAGGAACAGACTGCACAGTGACTCCCCAGGGAGCTCAGGCAGGGAGAAAGTTGCTGTCGCCCTCAGTGGGCTCCTGACTGCCCTGGGCACTGAGGGTCACAGGAGAGCACTGTTGGCCCCTGGGTCCATGGGAACCTGAGTTGGGATTTACAGGTCCTTCTGGCGCAGTGGTCTGTGCACCTGGGCAAGGACTGTGGTCCCCATAGAGGGCTCGTTAAAACGTGTCACAGGGCTCTACATTGAGACGTCAGTTGTAAGCAGTGCTTGTAGCCCTTGGTCCACAGACCACACACTGCCTACCACTGTTCTACAGAGAAGTTCCCCAGAGCCCAAGATGCTGTTTCCCAAGCCTACCCATTTCTGAGGTCTCTGGGCTGTAGACAGCAGTATATTGTTACACACGTGAGGAAAATGTGGGCACACCCAGACCCGATCGTGTGGACAGCAAGAGATGCACAAAGTTGTCATTTGGTGAAGGAGCTACTGATCGCCCTTGCCAACTCCAGCCTGACCACCTGCTTGCTGTGTTACATCCTGCACTATTGTTCTGTTGCTGCAGTATAAACTACGAGAGAGAGCAAACAGCCAGTGTGCAAATAATAAAGCCCCAAAGAAAGGTCATCGTAAGTTCAGTGAGCCTGCAGTGTAGACTTCAACCAGTGGGAATGAGATCTCCACAAGCTCAATTCAAATTCATCCCTTGCTTCTTTCCCATGAGTCTCCTCGCCTGCAATCTCCCTGTAGCTGGTAACTAGTAGCTCGGACTGAGTCTTGTCACACGGCTAGCTGGGAGCAAACAATGGGTCTTCTGGCAAGCCCTGGTGCCACATACCTACTGTTACTACTGAATGTGACTCAAGCATGGTCACACTACGTCACACCAGCCAACAAGGGTAACCGTTACCACTTCTGCCTGCAGTGCTTTAAGGTTGTTACAGCAGAAGAAACTCCTCCACTGAGCAACAGTAAGTCTTCTCCAAAAATACCACTCTAACTTCTAAAGTGAGGAGTCTGAGGCCCAGAGAACTCATATGGTTCAAGGCTACAGAGCCAGAAGCAGCTCTCCCAATTCCCAGCCTGTGCTTTATTACACTAAATAATTGCTCCTCTTGAACTTTAGGCAAACTATCCAAAAGCAGCCCAGTTCTTCTTGGCCATGAACACTTTAAAAACTGAACTACAATAGAGAGAAACAGAAAAGGAACAAGACGAGGTATCAGCTTTACTGTGACAGCCTTAAACTGACATTAGAAAAGCGATTTAGAAGAAAAAGTCACACCTTGGGAAATCACATCTTGGATGCAGAGGGGGCAACTTCTTTGTGGTAGTCACTATGAATCCATTGGATATTCTGTGCAGTCTTGTCTTGACCCTTAAGTTCCAAGGTCAAGAGAAACAGCAGAAAATATGTGTGTGTCAGAGGACAACAGTATTCAAGGATTAGCCCCCTGGAGTGATCTGGGCTGGATTTCTGCTTCCAGAACCACCCTTGGAAAGCCCTCAACAAGGCAGCACACTGGTGTCCAGCATGCTTCACTGACATTCGCATAGCAAAGCAGGGGACTCACTAGAAGTACCCTCCTGGAGTGACGGAGTGCTGGCTATGGAAGAAATACAAATGGGAAAGTAGGGCTGGTGGGGTTTAAACAAATGGCCTAGAAAAAAAAAATCTGAAAATATTTATGATAAAAGGAGCCTTACTGTTCTAGCTCAGTGCTTGCTTCGGCAGCACATATACTAAAATAAGGGTTCTAGCTCAATCTTATTTGACAGATGTGGAAACTGAAGTGCAGAAAAGTGGAATAACTTACTGAACATCACCCAGCTTGTCAGAGACAAAAATGAGATAATCCCTGTCCTCTGCTCTTCCCAACAGACACATCACAACTCCAGTGAAGTAAGACAAAGTGCTTCCACCTTTCAAATCTAATCTGAAGGCTTGAAGACAACAAATCTCCATGTAAGTCTATTAGAAAATATAGAGTTGCAAGACTTTAAAATAACGTAACTAAAATTATCTCCAAAAAGACTTTCCTAATTAATAACTTTTTTCACTGGGTATGGGTGCCAGTAATACTGACATCACACCAGCCAAGGGGAGCTTTTCCATCCTGCAAGTGCGTGTGCCACAATAATGTCATGAATTACACTTTGGGAGAGACTTCTATTTCCTTCTGAGCTTGTATTTCAACTACAAAGACAGACTGGTAAGTGGTTAAAGTACAGAGTTTAGATACAGATATGACATATTAGATGGAAGTAAATGCAGACAATTCTGTCCTATAAATAAAGTCCAGAACAATCCTTTGCAAAACAAGCATTTTCACTGGGGAGAAACTGGTACTTACAAGTATACTATTGCATACAGGAAAAACTTATGCGGCACTATGATGCTAAGTGAAAGCAGGATACCAAAACAATATACATAGACAAGCCACACAGGGTATGATCGAAACATACAGTGAATGTTTTAAAATGCATTACAGTAAAAGACACATTCCTACTAATGCCCCTCAAGACACCCGCTCCCTCGGAGCACACTGAGCCCATTGTTCTTGCCACCCTCTAAAGCAGTTCTGGAAGTCCTCTTTTGTGTCTTTACGAGATGTAATAAAGATATGGTAAATGCTGGTACCGAACACCCTCCAGCAGATGGGCAGCTCATAAAAATATTAAAGGTGTGTCCTTATCCACTTTACCAGATCCGGCACCATGCAACTTCTACTTCTTTCCCAAAGTCAAAATGACCATGAAAGGCAAAAGTTTTAAATACATTCAGGACATCAAGGCAACAATAACAGTGTAACTAAAAACACAAAAAAGCAATTCTAAAAAAAAAGCAATTCTAGAACTGTTTCAGAAAGTGGCAAGAATGAGGGGGTAAGTGCAATTGAAACAAGAAATATATTTTTTTTTTGTTTTTATCTTTTTTTCCGGTACCAAGAATTGAACTCATGACCGTACGGTTGCCAGGCAGGCACTGTGCCACTGAGCTAAATCTCCAGCCCGAAACAAGTAATATTCTAAGAGGAATTAATGGCAACTTGTCGTTTACTACAGTAAGTTTTTTAAAAAAACTTAAACATTCACCCTATTTTTCAATCACACCTCATACAATATATTAAAAAAGAACAAAGTTTTACCTAAAAGAACAAGCACAGGTGGTCTGTGGAATCCAGTGAGCCTATGTGCTCGTGATGGGAGGTCAGGGTAGACCTAAAGATGCCTCAGCTCTTTGCTACCAAGGAAGTTTCAACAATGTGGCCCCAGGGGCTGGGGTTTTAGCTCAGCGGCACAGCACCTGTCTGGCAAGCGCAAGGTCGTGAGTTCGATTCCTGGTACTGGAAAAAAAAAAAAAAAACCAATGTGGCTCCAAACTACTTTTCCACATTACAGGGGAGCCACAATCTACTTCTCCCACCCTTGCTCCTGAAAGCGGGCCCAAGAATACTACCACAGCCAAAACAAATCGGGCCATGGCAGTTGGTCACGATTCTTAGCACATTTACACACTGCCTGTAACGTCTGGGATAGCAGTCTTGTAACTACTTGGGTCTCTGCAGATCAGACAGGCCAGCCTTTTATTTCCTCTCTGTCCAATTAAAACATTTTTTTAAAGGGAAGAAGGCAATTGATGCCTTCAGGTCAAGCTTACATCTGGTGAAATCATTGTTTCCTAACAAAACCTAGTATTTCTTTTAGCCGATTACACCTGACCCTCAAGCTATGATTTCTGCAAGTGAAATGTCAACACTGCTGAAGGCCTTCCAGGAAGGTGATACCTCCAGTGCATAAGAAACGTGCTTTGGTCTCAGCCTAGCCTTTTATTCTACTACAAGACAGAGAATAACAAAAACCTCCAGGCATTTCCAATGTCACCAACTGTTCCAATAGCACTAGGAAACAGAGTAGTTATGCAAGAAGACAAAGAAAACAAGAGGGAAGTATGCTTTTGTCCCCAGGCTTCTCTTTTGTAGCAACTACACTGGCTTTAGCTGAATAACAAATTGTCCTGGAATTCCTGGCATTGGCGCAAACATTCAGTTCCCTGGTTACGCCTTCGTCACTGCTCAAACTGCCACACACTTTAACCTTCCTGCTCTTTCCATAGGCCTGGGCTTGTCCCATCTCCAGGAAACTTTATATGTTCTCTGAGCATTGCAGCAGGCTGCAAGGCGGAAGGCTGCTTAGGATTCTGAATGTTGACCAATTCCTACCTGGACCCACACCACCAAGCTGAAACTCAGCCTGCCTGTGCAGAAATAGGAGCCCAGCCACACAGCTTGCAGCTTTTTAAACTGCTTCTCTCAGCACTGAAGAACTTCCCTAGCAAACCAGCTTCCAGGACATGGCCTTTTTCAAGGGAATTGCAAAGGAAGGGATATCAAGATTTATCACGGGACACACACATTCAACCAGACACTACAGCCATAAGCAAGCCCCCCAAAACCTAGACCAATATCCAACTGTATCTTTAGCACTTTTACTTTAAAAAAAGTAAAACTCATCTTTATGAATTACAACCTCACTTCCAACAAGAACCCTGAACTCTTACAGCACTGTCTCACATTACTGAGTTACATCCTATCCTGTGTTAATAATTCTTTGTGACCAGGTTTCATCTCTTTTATTTGCTAGAGCAACTGCTACTGCAGTATGCCCACCACTCTGGCTCTACTTTCCAGGGACCAAACTCCTCAGAAAAGAACTGGTAAGGTATAAAACAGCAACCAAAATACCAGCCAAGACACTACAGAAGAAGCAAGGCACATGGCACACGCCTATAATCTCAGCAATAGGCAGGAGGATCACTGAGCTCGAGGCCAGCCCAAGCTCTTAGTTCAAAGCCAGCCTCAACAACACAGTGAGACCCTGTCTCAAAAAAACCAGCCACAGAAATGAAAATCAAAACTAAGACATTACACGAGGAAAAATGTGATTAATCAGAGTGAAAATGATCTGACATAAATTAGTACAAAGTATGAGCAATGGAAAATCATGACCAAGTCAAAATCCTTCTGAAAACTGCCCTTCCCAGAAACTGTGGGAAAGCCAACAATCTACATGTACATACATATTAGGAACTTTGCAAAATTGCCAAAGTGTGGCAGCCAGATTTCTTAGCAGAACTCAGTAAGTTCTTATCACAGGACATTTCATTTATTTAGGAAAATTCCTGAGCAATCTCTTAGTATGGAAAGATGAAGTTCCTTCTAGAACTTGGCCTGAAGAGACAAAGAACATGAATTTCTATATAAAAGTAGAGTTTAAGATTCTAAAGGAAAAAGGTAGGTAATGGTGAGGGAATCCAGCAAAAGAAGACTCGATACTAGACATGAGTTTGTGTGAAGAAAGTTAACCACTCAGTTTTAAGCTATTTATTCTGAAGTAATGTATCAAAAGCTGATCAAAAAATATGGGTGAATGCTGCCTGCCTAGTGCCAGCCAATGGAAAGGTAGGGATCTTCAATACAGGAAGCAGCAAGTTGAACCTTGGTAAAAGCATGTGAGAAGCTTCAACTTGTTTGGTGCAGTTACTTGTGAGATCCAGTTGAGAGGTGTGTTTACGCCATAAATCACAGATTAAGAACAACACATTCACATTAGCCAGGCGTGGTGGTGCATGCCTGTAGTCCTGGCACTTGGGAGCCTGAGGCCAACCTTGGCTACATAGCATGTTCAAGGTCAGCCTGAACCACACAGTGAGACCTTGTCTCAAAAACAAGGACAAAAGAACAGCAAATTAACATAAAATTTCACCAGGCATGGTGACACGTGTGTAATCCCAGCACTGGGAAGGCTGAGGAGTATGATCATTGTGAGTTCAAGACCGGCCTGGGCTACAAAGTGAGCTCAAGGCCAGCCTGAACTGCATATTGAGACCCTGTCTCAAAATGACCAAAAAAAAAAAAAAAAAAAAAAACACCATAAAAGGTATCCTTGAGCTTTAAAGCACTGAACAAACTGGAAAATGCAACATACCACATACTGAAGTGAAAAGTCTGTGTTTTGGTTTTTAAATAAAAATTTTCAAAAAGTTAAAAAAAAAAAACCCCACCATAAAATTTCTTTGGAATTAAATGATCATGCAGCTTCAGATTCCAATTTTTAAGAAATGTCACATGGGAAATGAAACTTGGGGTCTGATTATGATCCTAAGACCAAGGTTCAAAGTTATCAATGGAAATGACCCAGTTCTCTTCATGTGAAGAAAGCATGTCAGCCAACTCCAACATCAAGGTGATATTGTCCTTTTTGACCTTGATGGAAATGTGTGAGCTGAGTTTGTACCCAGAAATACTACAGTAAATTCTTGAATATTGTAAGAGCTTATTAGAGCATTTTAAAAATGGTGAGGTGAAAACAACCTGAGATTGGGTAACTGGTTTCATCCTCCATCGTGACAATGCTCCATGTCACGTATCACTTCTGGAACCACAATTTCTGTCAAATGAGACCTGTGTGTCCTCATCCACCTTATTCACTGGATCATGCACCATGCATCTTGTGGCTCTTCTCCAAAGTCAAAATGACCATGAAAGGCCAACAGTTTTAATCAATTCAGGTCATCAAGGCAGTCATGAGAACTCAATTAAAAACATGAAAGAGGACTTCTAGAGCTGCTTCAAAAGTAGCAAGAACAGAGCCAGGTGTGGGGGCACACACCTGTAATCCCAGCACTCTAGAGGCAGAGGCAGGACTGCTGTGAGTTCAAGGCCAGCCTGAACTACACAGTAAGACCTTGTCTCCAAAAAAAAACCAAGAACAATGGGATGTGTTCAAAGCAAGAGGGACTATTCTGAGGGGGATTCATGGCAATGTGTCTTTTGCTACAATTTTTAAAAATTAAAATATTCACCTATTTTTAATCACACTTGATAACTTCTTTAAAACAGTGCCACAAATTATCACTCCATGTGGGGGCTGGGCAGGGGACAATTGAGAATGGAGCCAGTGGGTGGAAAGATCCAGTCTGTAACTGTCAATATAATAGTACTTCCTAAAGTCCTCAATTTGAGGGCTGGATTTACTGTCCCATCAAATAATAAAAAGTAAAAACATACAAGACATATGAAAAAAATGATGCCAGATGGAAACACATGAATTAGGGAACTGGTAGACAATTGTGACACAAATAGAGAGAAAAGCTAAATAGGACAGACCCAGAGAAGAAACTGAGAGGTTGGTAGGGGTAGAAAAACCAAGGAAATAGGTGACCAGAAAAATAAAAGCAAGAATGCAAGAACTAGGTTTACCTTAGTACAAGCGATCCCTCGCTGTATGCCCTTCGTAACTCCCTGCCTCCGTGTCTACTTCCTTAGCAAGTCTTACGAGTCACAGTGTCAGATTCACCCAGAAGCCAACATTTCTCACCACCTCCACTGCAACCACCCGAGCCAACCCACCAGCAGTGCGGGCCTTCTGATCTCACATGCTCCTCTTCCACCCCCACCTGTCTGCACAGCAGGTATGGTAAGAGCTCTATCAGCGGAAGAATACTCATGCGCTTGCTGTCTGTCTCTCTGCTGAAGTGCAGTCTTTTTTTTCGGTGCTATATCCCCAGAGAGTAGAACAATACTAACAAGTGTAGGTATTTATATTTAGCACTATAAATATTTTTAAATGAACTAAATAAGTGGTTATAAAACTATATGCTATATACCTCCAAGAAATAAAGAACCTCATTTTGTGCTGACCTGTGGCCTCCAGGAAGGAGGGATCTGTAAGTCATACTGTGAGAGGCACAACCTTGCTGTCACCTGTGGCTGGCTCTACAATGGCTTGTGTATGACAGGAAATAGATAAATGCTCACTGTACGGATAAAGCAATGAATATAAAATAGGTCTGATGTCACATATGGTGTGTTTAGGGCTGACCTGTACAGAACACAGCTGGCACAGGGATACTCAAAAATAATGGAAAGTCATGGGCCTAAACCAATTATGTGCAGTCACAAGAAACACAGAGGACCACAGTAATTCTTGTCTTCAAGGAACTGACATATCTCTACTATCTTGTGAAGAACTATAAGCAACTCGGATATGAGACAATTGCTTTACTAGACATATTTCATAGGCACAAAGAAAGTGACCATCCTTATCTGAGGTCATGGTCAGGGAAAAATTCTAAAATATATTTTAGCCAGGTGTGGTGGAACATGCCTATAATCCCAGCACTCAGGAGGCTGAGGCAAGAGGATCACTGCAAGTTTGAAGCCAGCCTGGATTACAGTGTGAACTCAAGGCCAGCCTGAACTACAGAGTAAGACCCTGTCTCAAAAGAAAAAAACACATTTTACTTGAGCTGAATCTTACAAGGTATTTAGCAAATGAGGAGAAGCTCATTTAGAGAAGGCAGAATCTATGTGCATAACTTACATGATTAGGTGGTTACTAGAAGAGAGTTAACAAAACATGGAGTGATATTCTGCTATGGATAGAAAAAAGTGACAAAGCACTTTCCTTTAAGGACACACCCTGTGCTTTGGAAAGATCCCAGACCCACCTTTCAAACCACCCATTTCTGCAATACGATGTGACCTCAAAGGCGGCTTAAATTTTAAAACATTAAGTAACAAAATCAGGAAGAAGAAAACATGTATTTATTCCTAGCCAGGTCTTAAAATGTACTCAGCACCACTCCCCATTTTTATCAGTGTCAGGGAGGGAAGGGGCCTTACAGCAGCTCCGCCAGGGCTGCTGTGTGTCTGCAGGAGGCATAGGGTCTTCCTGACCAGCACTCACTGAGGTTCTCCACCCTCAGGCACAAGGCTCTTAACTGTAAACTCATTTTGTGTGAAGAGGAAAGAATCTGATGCACTGACTGTTCCTCATTTAAACCATAACTTAAATCCTACCTCAAGATTGAACTATCTTTATTTTCTGATTAAAATATACATATATATAAAGGAAAGGGATAAAGGGAAAAAGAAATTGCACTGTGCTGACACAGAGACTTGAAATTCTAATTAAGGGTCTACTGATGTTTAAAGGAAACTACTACAAGAAGTCTCATCAAGGCATAGATGAGTTAGTTGAGTCTCACTCTAGCCTAAAAATGTATGAAAACAGTTCTCCAGGGAACTGGCCCCACAGTTGTCGGAATGCTCTTAGGCATGGGTAGATGAGTCCGGAGAAATGAGTTCTCTCCGTGCCTGGTGTGATGTAACAAGCAGCTCCTACTGCCAGGTGGTATCTGCAGCTCACAGCTTAGCTCAGCAGTGGAACCGCGCGGAGAACTTAGGAGAGACAGGCACGGTTAGAGGCTGGTCGCTGGACTTTATCTCGACAGACTGGTATTTGCGTATTGGATTTGCCTTATGTACCTGCAGAGCAAGGAAAATAAAGTTACCCCTGAGAAGGATGTGAGAGAACTATACATAGTAATTTTCTTTTGTTGCAGTATTGAACCCAGACCTTTATTTTTATTTTCTGAATTTTGAAACAGGGTCTCATGAAGCTGCTAAACTGTCTAGGCTGGACTTGAGCTAGTGATTCTCTTGCCTCTGCCTCTCAGAATGCTGGGATTACAGGAATGTGCCATCGCACCTGGCTTTACTTTTTCTTTTAGAGAAAATGGTTGTGTTGTTTTACAGATATCAGTTACAAATTTAAAAGGAAGGGGAAAGAGAAGAGTAAAATGAGAAAGTATATGAGCTTTTGGAGACCAATAGGTTTCTATTAGGTATTTGATGGGTCTCTCACTAAGAATGCCAAACCCATCTCCTATGTGACAAGGGCAGTGATGGAGACTTTTAGAGCTTTCAATGACAACAAACAGCCTGCTGTGGCACATGTGCCATAATTTCACCGCCACCGTACTAGTGTATAATGAACGACATTGTACTCAATTGCACAGCAAAGAGTTACAAGTTAAGAATTAGCCACAGTACAATCTTTTCTTTTTTTTGGTGGTACTGAGGACTGAACTCAAGGTCTTCACACTGTCTCTCTAGCCCCTCTTTTTTATTTTAAGCAGGTATCTAAAACAGCCCACTTTGCCTGAGCTGTCCTCAAGCTTGTAATCCTCCTGCCTCAGCCTCCTGAATAACTGAGATTACAGCATATATCACCATATCCTTACTGATTCTCAATATTGACAAAAACATGAACCAAAAGGACAACAAAAAGTAAAATCCAACCATACCCAGGAAGGGTTATCAGAGAAGACTTGGTCCCATCTATCCTTCTGGATGGTCTAAAATCAATCCTGAATCAAGCTAGATTAGTAGAGATAACTAGCACAGATTATTGTGCTTTAGAATACTGTCATGAGCCTATACTGAGAACTGCTGTAAGAAACAGTTCTATAATGAGGACAAATACAAGAGGCAGGTACCAAGTATTGAAGAAAAACTAGGTAAGTTGCAGCTAGTTTTACGTATGAAGTAGGGATTGTGTTATTTTCTCATTTAATCAGTAATTGCTAGCTGGATGTTCCTGAGAGGCTGATCTCTCCACTAGTTTGTCCTCAAAGCCTGCCTGTGGGTAGTCACCTGAGCCAACAGCTGTTTCAGCAGCCAGCCTCAGTGCTTTTGTTTTGTTTTGTTTTGTTCTGTTCTTTGGTAGTGTTCAACCTAGAGCCTCACACATGGCAATCAACGGCTATACCACTTAGCCCTACTTTAGCACTTCTGGACAAAGCTTATATATTTCTGTAGTCGTCCTTTTACTAGTCACATGAAGTTTCATCTAAAACCATCTTCCTGTTATATGCAGTTATCACAACTTGCTGTCCTCCCAACAAAGTGTTACTTAAAATCTTTTTGGATAACTAATACTTAGGTCACTATGCTAGTATCAGCATGAAGATCACTGAGACCAACATATACTATAACTCCGTGGAGCTGGAGCCAAGAATGATGAGGGGGGAAAAAAGGAAAGTACAGGTGCCTCGCAATTCCTATACCCTGTACTGTACGTTCTTGTCTAATAACAAAATACACTGGTAATTAATCTCAGAATAAAATAATGAAATAAATAAATAACAAAGAGTCCTAGGAAATGCATCACAGTGCCTGTGGATACCACATGATGTGCTTCCTATGCACACCTCTGGAAGAAATTGTGTCTAAATTCAATATCAAGGATAAATGTATATTTTGAACAACTGCGGTTATGTCTTAAAAATGACAGGTTGCCGGGCATGGTGGTGCACACCTGTAATCCCAGCACTCAGGACGCTGAGGCAGGAGGATTGTTGCAAGTTCAAGGCCAGCTGGGGCTACAAAGTGAGTTGAAGGCCAGCCTCAACTGCATACTGAGACCCTGTCTCAACAAGACCAAAAAAAAAAAGACAGGTTGACTCCTCAAGAGCCAAAACCATGGCTCTTCCTTACAGCACCATGTATACATCTTCTGCTTTGCGCCCATTTAACCTCCTCCTACCCCTAGTGGGGATGACATCTTTCACTCTCTTGCCTTTGACACTGCCCTGCAAACTACTGTGATCCTGTCTAGAATGAGGCATGGTGAGAAAAACAAAAGCGATAACCCTGGGTTAGTCAGTGTGCATGCTGCCCAGTTACCAGTTCTTTCCGTAGCCTGGCCAGCTCCTCCTTCTTCTGTTCTTCTTCCTGTTGCCTGGCCTCCTCCAGCTGCTGAGCTTTCTGGGCTTCCACCTCAGCCATTCTCCTCTCCAGCTCCTGTCGCTCCCTGGCTCTCTTCTCAGTGGCCAACTGCAAAGGTTCCTGAACTAGAGAACCAGAAAGGCCCTCTGAGTACAGAAACAGAGAAAACACTAGTACACGAGCAGCAATCCCATTAACAGAGTCCCAGCCCAACCCCAGACTGAGCTAAGTGGCAGAGACATGGAAGGCAGTAAAAGGCTGAGCTCTAAGGAAGCCCTATTAGAGAAAAGGCATAGTCACAGCATTGTAACAGTTGAAGGGCCCCTGGAAAAATTTAGTATAAATGGAAGAAAAGCAAGACCTAGAGGTAAAGAAGCTTGCTCAAAACTACAGTGATTTTAAGACAGATGTAAAAGAATCCTGACCTTTAACCCACTGTCCAGTGCCTAAGAAATCCAAAGTCACCTGTATCTAAGGCTTGCTTCAGGGCCAACTCCAAAAAGACCTCCCAGCTCTCTCTCTCATCACTCACTCTTCAGGTGAGAGAAGCCAATTACCACTGTTGAAGAGCCAGCTGGTTATGCTAAAGCTCACGTCCTATCAATCTGGACACAACACATTTGCAAACTCAACAGAGCCACTAAGGTCAATGATGGCAAAAGGCTGGGTCTAAGGGAAAGAAAAGCTACCGTCCTCTAAAGTCAAACACTTCTGGCTTACACCACACTGTCCTGGCACAAGTGAGTCCCTGCATTCCCCAGGGAAGTCTGACAATTCTGCCCTAATCCCACAACCATACAGAGAATACTACCAGCAACTGATTTTTTCTCTTTCTTGGGAACAAAGGGCTCCTGGGAGGTGACCGTGTTTGGACGAGCCTTGAAGCAAGTTGCTTCTTTCTGCTGTTTCAGTTCTTCCTCCAGCTGTCAGGAAGAAAGTCTGTCAGACAGGCGAGTCCACAACTTCTCATCACTACTATTGCAATTAACTCAAGTTCTAATGCTTCTGAATTTGCTTTGTAAATAAAGATAGCAGATGATTTATTATAAATACCAGGTAACCCCCCACACTCACCCAGCAATATCTGAACCCAGGCCGAATTAGAAACTATTTTTAAACCACCTCCCGCACAACACACACATAACATATATACTCCCCAGTACAGGGAATCAAACCAAGGGCCTTTGCACTGAGCTACACATGGCCAGTCCTTTTTAAATTTTTAAAAACATTTTTAAAATTTTCAGACAGAGTCTCCCTATGTTGCTCAGGCTTGAACTTGTGTCCTCCTGCCTTAGCCTCTCTATATTTTTTGTTTTGTTTTGTCTTATGAAACAGAGTCTAATACAGTCCAAGCCAAACATGAACCGTTATGTAGCCCAGATGGTCTCCAACTCACAAGCATCCTGCCTCATTTTCCCATGTGCTGAGATTACAGCTATGTGCTGCCACACCCAGCTATCTTAACCATCACAAAATAAACAACTATACATTATATGTCTCTAGATGCAATTAAGGATCATGACCATGCAGCATCACCTATGTTCTTCCCACCCCAAAAATCAAACAAGTACAAGAACTAAAATGTAATCAAGCCTCTAGATCTGACCACTCATTCGTAGGAAATATGAAAGACAGACAAACATATTAAACAGCACATGGGAATATAATCAACAAAGCCCAGACTGAAAAAATCTATATAAATCCAGTTTATTCAACAAATGAAATGCAGCCTGGTGTGGTGGCACACGCCTGTAATCCCAGTACTTGGGAGGCTGAGGCAGGAGGATCATTGCAAGTTTGAGACCCGCCTAGGCTACAAAGCTAGTTCAAGGCCAGCCTGAACTGCGTAATGAGACCCTGTTTCAAAAAGACAAAAAAAAAAGCAAAGAGTCTGACTGAAAGAGAGTTTTGGATATTTAGCAAACAAATGTACAATGTGGGTCTTATTTAGATCTTGGTTTAAATAATTCAACTGGAATTCAAATTTATAAGAAATTTGTTGCCCTCTGCCTCCTGGCTGGCATGAGGTGAACAACTTTACCATGCCATTCCAGCCCGCCATTTTTGCTTGGAGCCAGCCACAGACTAAATCCACGGAAACTGAGACAAAATAACCCTCTCCTTCTTGAAGCTGTGGGTGTTGAGTATTCTCTCCCAGTAATGGGAAAGTAGTAAGACAGAGTGATTTCTATAAGCAAGGATTAACTCAGAGCTTCCTTTGGACAGTCTAGAATAAGTGCTGACATAAAAATACTGACAAACTTAAAACTTGAAGAAAATTTTCCAGCTGGACAGAATTAGATCCCAGTTAAACTAGTCAATAACCAATTAATTGGCTTTGTTTGTATTTGTGTGGTACTAGGGATTGAATCTAGGGTCTTTGCACTTAACTACAGCCCCAGATCTTCTTTTTTCTTTTCTTTTCCTGAGACAAGCTGCTAAGGAGCTCAGGCTGTACTCAAACTTGCAGTCCTCCCACCTCAGCTTCCCAGAGCAGGGATTATGGGTATGTGCTACTACGCCGGGCTCCAATTAATTGTTTGTAATTACTTGGTAACTATAAAGAACAAGTATTTTCCATACCATGCTAAGAAAATAGCCTATTATGTTGAGAACCTATTTTCCCATCCTGTTGCCAAAACACCAACAGAAAGACTTAAATACAGAAACCTTAAATACAGTATTTAAGTAGTAAGTCTATAGTTGGAGTGGACAAGATCTTACACAGACTGACACAAAAAGCCACAGCTTTTACATTTCCCAAGTGGTCACTTAAAAAGTGTGTCAGCACATGGCAGCTTACAAGCCAAATTCAGCCTGTAAACTGTTTTTGTCCAGCCCTTGAGCTAAGAATGGTTTTCATATTTTTAAAGGGATGAAAACACACACATACAAGGAATATGTGACAGAGACAGGGGTCATGAGTAACCAGAAAACCTAAAATATTTATAATCTGGTGCTTTCCCAAAAACAAGTGCTGAGCCCTGATTTAGATAAGGTATATTAAAATTATTTCATTCCAGGTGATTTTTCAGTGCCATGGGTCTGCCTGTCAACCAACTGACCAACATTTGGGCTGCTCTCCCGTCTCCCACCTGGTACTTCCATGTCTCAGCCTTCTTAGCACCTCTCTTGTCAGTCTCCAAGTCAAACGGCTCAGTTTGGGTCACATTCTTTACCTTTTTCTCTGGCAGGTTAATGTTATCAAAATGAGGTAAGGGAAGTGCCTTAAACTTGGGTACCTAATGAAAATAAAGAAAACAAAGCAAAACATGTGACTTAAGGGAAATACTTCTCTAGCCGGAAAGCAACAGTTGCTCCAGAACATGTGGGTAAACCTGAACAAACAGGGGAGACCAGTTTTCAAAGCAGTATGGTCCAACAGGAAAGAGTAATGGAGTTAAAAGAAAACTTAAGTTTTCTTCCCAGTATTGGCCAACAACTGGCAGTGTGATCAGAGGCAAGTTATTTAACCTCTTCGAGCCAGAGGAATTATTTAAATTATTTGCCCTATTTTATATCTTATACAATTCTTAGAAGGATCAAAGGAAGGAGTAATTTCAGTCAAGTATTACATGAAAGGTTACCCATGAGGGATAAAAGAACGGTATTATACTACTTGCAGAAATGGAAATACCTACCTCCCCTTTCTGCAACTCTTTTACTTTCTTCTCCTTCTGTAACTGGCGTTCTTTGTCCCGAGAATCAAAGGAGAAAGGGCATATTTCTACAGTTCTTGCCTCTGGGAGATGGGGCTTAAAAGGCACCCCATAATGTGGCACAGGTTGAGCTTTTATCACTGTTGGTTCATCCTCTTCCTAAGACAGAAATTGCAGTTCAGAAATAAGACTTCTTATTCTCTCCCACCTGCTCCGAACATGCAGTCAGCAGACACTGTATGAGACAAGTCACTCACGTGTAGGTCTTAGTTTCCTTTTTAGCAAAGCGGGACAATGGCAAAAAATCAGCTACCACCCCCCAGGGCTGACAGCAATGGGAAAGCCTTTAATAAAGAACTAACAGATCTAAAGTTTTTCACAGAAATACTGGAAGAACTTAATGTCAGCATAAATAAAATGATGATTACAAGAAAAGTACTAACCAAACATATACCTGCACCTCTTCTTTGACCCAATCTTCAGACTCCACTAAAACATGTGACTAGAGTTAATAGTAGCCAAACCCAGAATAGGACGAAGTAAGTTGTTTGGGTTCAAACTGGTAACATAAGATTACTGTGTATTTTAGTTTCAAACAAACCTATAAAAAGGCTTTGCTTGAGATCTGCTATAAAATTACTCTAACTCTGGATATTTATAGATAAAATGGGAGATGTAATAAGAAACTGGTATATCAGTGACAGTCTATGTTACAATTCTATGAGCCACGAGCACACAGCCATCTTTGCGATCCCTGTATTAATAGTGATAGACAAGGTAGACGGAACTACTCATTTTAAAAGTCCCACACTGAATAGTGACAACAACTCTGGCAAAATAAAGTACAGGGGTTGGCAACTTACTCTCAAGGACAGGCTGATTTCAATGCTACAGAAACAGACAACCTCCAATGCCCAACTCTTTCATACTTTTCCTATAAATTGTAAATGGTTATTACTGAGATCCAGAAGATTTGTACCTTATCAACTACTTTGCTGTCAGAGGAGCAAAACGGATGATCAAATGTTTATACCATGCTTAAAAATAATACCAGAAAAAAGGTTGTTGCTTTAGATCTCCATTAAGTTTAAGAAACGGTAAGGGTTGAGGGGTAGCGGGCAGCATAGTGGTAGAATTCTTGCCCAGCATGCATGAGGCCCTGAGTTCTGTTAAAGGAAGGAAGGAAGGAAGAAGAAAGGCAGGAAGGAAGGAAGGAAGGGAGAAAGACAGAAAGAGAGGGAGGAAGGGAGAGAGGGAGAGAAAGAAAAAGAAAGGGAGAGAGAAAGAGAGAAAGGAAGGAAAGAAGGAAAGAAGGAAGAAAAAGAGGGAGGCAGGCAGGCAGGGAGCGAGGGAGGGGAAAAGTTAAGGCTCAGACTGCCTCTGAAGGAAAGAGAAACTCCCTACTCCTAGGAAATCACCTCATCTTCTTTGGTGGGCAGTCGGATTCTGTTCTTCAATGCAAAGGCTGGAGATTTGGGGACTGTGACTGGAAGGACCTTCTTTTCAGGAACACCCTGCAAGGAGTACACAACTCAATTAGATATCCCCAATATCCTCTTCTTTCCAAGAGAAGTTCACGTATCATGACAATGGATCTCTTTACTCTCAGGACACAGAGAAGTGGTCTCTCATGGATACCAAAACCCACAGATGTTTAAATCCTTTATATAAAATGGGGTAGTATTTGCATACAACCTACCCACATGTGCCCTATATACTTTACGTCATCTCTAAGTTCTTTTGTTTTTCTGAGACAGGGTCTCACCATGTAGTTCAGGCTGGCCTCAAACTCTGCGATCCTCCTGCCTCAGCCTCCTGATTGCTGAGATTACAGGCCCAGCCAGTCTAGATTCTTACAGTACCTAACACAAGATAAATACTGCATAAATAGTTATTATGCTATTCGTTTAGGGAATAACGACAAGAAAAAGTCTATACATGTTCAGTACCAATGTAATTTTTTTCCCACAAATATTTCTATTCACAGTTGGTTAAATCAGCACATGCAGAATCTGCAAATATAAGGGCAAGCAAGGTACATATATAAAACTTCATTATATTTACTTATTTAAACATTCGTCTCCCCCACCTAACTTATGAATGCTTCAAGGATGGGCACTATTTTATTCCATCAATCCCAAGCACTTTATACAGACTTTGGCAAGTGTAAGGCATTCAGGAAATGTCCATTCAATGAATGCAGTAAGAACGAACACTTAAGAATTTATACCTTGGACTCTATGAGGATACCTTGGGAGACTTCTTAATCCCAACAATGCTGCAACTGCTCAGAGCATGTTTGGAATGTCTTTCTTGGAGTGGCTTTCGAAGCCACTTTTTGGACCATGCAAGACAATTGCTCAATCTTTACCTTTAATGTAACAAAACTGTTTCTGCCTCTAATATCTTTTACTACTAAGAAGTTTTAGTTAAAAATATTTTTTAAAAAGGTTAGTCCCAAACACTTTGCTTTGGCAAGGGGTGGTTTCCAGTACCAGGAATTGAACTCACAACCTTGTGCTTGCCAGGCAGGCACTATGCTGCTGAGCTAAATCCCCAACCCCCCAAAACACTTTTAGACTAGCTTTTAAATACAAGTTAATCTTTAAAACATGAAGATTTGCTATCATGCAAAGATCCACAAGATTATACTGCAGCAACAAGACAAGCAGTTTGCAGGATGTGCTGTGCAGTATCCCAATCACTACAAAGGACTGTGATTATAGTGTCTCTAGGTGCACACTGGGAAAAGAATGCTATTTTGCTGTGCGATTTCCTGTTCTGTTATCACTTAAAGAATGTTACCACTTAGAACAGTGAAATCCAAGTTCCCAGACCATGTAAGAGTGACAAGAGTCTGAGAGCTATGTTTTCAAATGATCCTTCCCATAAACAATAATAAAAATGTGCTGCTCCACCATCTCCTGGAAAGGTGGGCACCACGCACCACGACGGAGGCACAGGTTGCACAGAAATGGAAGAACCATGAGCAGGCGCAGGAGTCTGGCTCTGTCTCCCTCTGCTCCCCACCTCTGTAAGAGGAACAGCAGGCACCTTCTAGACCTCAAGACTTCACAAAATAATCGAAACAAATACCTGAGGGCTCATTTAGTTCTAAAATAATCCTGCTTTTCCTATTTTTCCTTCTCTCTTCATCCAAAGAGCAGAGAGATCTGCATTTTAAAAGATGAGCAATGGAAATCTCTAGTAAATAAGCCACGAAGGAGGTATTTGTGAGTGGAAACAACTCTCATAATTAACTAGGGTAGGAAAAGATGTTTTATGAAAATCATCACTGCCAGGCATGGTGTACGCCTGCAATCCCAGCACTCAGGAGGCTGAGGCAGAAGGACTGTTGCAAGTTCAAGATCAGCGTGGGCTCCATAGTGAGCTCAAGGCCAGCCTGAACTGCATAGCGAGACCGTGTCTCAAAATGACCAAAAAAAAAAAAAAAAAAATCATCACTGCAGCAACTAACACATCGCAGCTCCACTGCAATCAAAGCTGACTGGGACTTCAATCTGAAATTCAAAAAAGGAAGTCAGGTTTCCAGAAAAAAAGAAGGCTTCTTAGTTTGTTACTTTAAGTCTGAATTATGAGCTCGTTGAAGGCCAGGATGTTGCCTTTGTCTTCTCCACAGTACTCACAGAAAGACTGGGGAGTAACTAAGCATGTACTGGTTATTACTGCTGCATTGATTTGCTTACATGTCAATCTGCTGAACCAGCCTGTGTAAGCTTGAGGACCATTATGTTTTATCCCATGTTTGAATTCCCAGTGTCTAATAAGCTACAAACACATGCTGGTGCATGTCAATTTGTACTGTCATTCCATTACCTAAGAGGGAAGTGTCATGCTGGGGATACAGAGTGAACTATACAGATAAAACAGGCCCTGTCCTCAAGGAGTTCCCACATCCCAGTGGGAAAAAAAAGAGACAAGGAGTAAGTAAAAAATTAAATACTTCCTAATTTTCATAACTGTTCTCAACCCAGCAGACCGTGAAGCTAAACACTATTGGGAAAATTCAGGTAAGATACCTGTGAAGAAGGGATGTGTGGCCAGGAAGAAGGGATGTGTGGTCAGAAGTGGGCGATGCAGGTGGACAGAAGACACACGTAACAGAAGCAGGCAGGGTGGGAGATGCAGAACACTACTCCTCCCTAAGGCAGGAAATGCTCCTATGTGCCCTGGGACAAGCTCAGGCCTGTCCCAGAGCAGTTAGCAAAGTACTGCAAAGCAATGTTAACTCAGGCAATTGGGAGGAGGGTGCTGGTTTCCCTAAGTCATCCCTAAAAATATCTAGCAGATATTTAGCAAATTTACTCGCTGCCCTCCCTGACACCACATCCACCTCCATGGAGCCACAGCCGCCCACACTCCCGCAGCTACGAGCAGGCGCCAAGGTCACATTTCACATCCACCATGCTCAACATTTCAACCTCCACCTCTGCCTAGGAGCCTTCTTCATCTCTGCCTCATGGTACACAGCTGCCCAAGCTCAACTCACACTGGTTCCATTGTTTCCTTGCCACCTACCATCCCCACGTGACATACCACAAGATCACTGAGGACACAAGGAAATGGAACTTCAGTGCTGAGGGGCATGGAAGGGAATGACCACAGCAGGAAGACATGCCACATCAAACTTTAACAGGTAGGTTCTCCGGTTCTACCATACAAGTCTAAGACCTAATCTCAGCTCTACCACCAACTCTTAAAAATGTTTCTATGAGGAAGCCGATTCCCCTTTCAAAGACTCCTTTTCTGAAAAATGAAGGTATAACTAGGGGCCTCCTGTAATCACAGGTACTCAGGAGGCTAGACAGGATTTTAAATGCAAGGCTAGCCTGGGCAACTTAGCAAGATCCCATCTTAAAATTTAAAAAGAGCTGGGGAGGGGCTGGGGATTTAGCTCAGCAGCACAGCACCTGCCTGGCAAGCGTGAGGTCGTGAGTTTGATTCCCGGTACCAGGGGGGGGAAAAAAAAAAAAAAGAGCTGGGGAGCCTAGCACTTGGAAGACTAAAGCAGGAGGGCTGCAAATTGAGGCTACCCTGGACTACACAGTGAGTTCAAGGCCAGCCTGAACTATGTACTAAGACCCTATCTTAAAAAAACAAAAACAAAACAAAAAAAGAGCTGAGGAATGTGGCAGGGAACTTGCCTAGCATGTGCAAAGGCCTGGGTTCAATCAATCCTCAGAACCAGGAAAGGGGTAGGGGTGAGGATAAATACCTATAATATGTCCTATAATTTGCTTCTCCAGAAGCCAAGAATTGAGCCAGGCGTGGTGGCACATTTCCCATAATCCCAGCACTTGGGAGGCTGAGGCACGAGGATCACTGTGAATTCGAGACCAACCTGGGCTATACATGCAAGTTGAAGGCCAGCCACCTATACTACATAGGAAGACCATCTCCAAAAAAAAAACAAAAACCAAGAATTGAATTAAAATTTTAAAATTTTAGTAGAGAGTGGCAGTGTCAAATTCAAAAGCTAAACCCAGCGTAGTGGTGCACATCTATAATCCCAGCACTTGGGAGGCTGAGGCAGGAGGACTGTTGTGAGCTCGAGATCAGCCTGGGCTACAAAGTGAGCTCAAGACCAGCCTGAACTGCATAGTGAGACCCTGTCTCAAAAAAAAATAAAAGAAGTTATATGTGCCAAGGATACAATAATATTAAGTATTGTGGAGTAGAATATACTGTTTAAGAAAGAAATGAACTCAAATCCCCGTTATGCACGCTAGGTATCTCTTAGCATCTGTTTCCTAATCTTAAAAAATAGGAGGGCTGGGGATATAGCTCTGTGGCACAGTGCCTGCGTGGCAAGCAGGAGGTCCTGAGTGTTCATTCCTGGTTCAAAAAAAAACATAGGGACCCTACAGGGTGTGGCGGCACAGGCCTATAATCCTAGTACTCGGGAGGCTGAGGCAGGAGGATTGCCGTGAGTTCCAGGCCAGCTTAGGCTACATAGTGAGTTCAAGGTCAGCCTGAATTACACATGGAGAGACCCTGTCTCAAAAAAAAGAAAAATGCTAGGGACACTATGTATATCTAAATATACCAATAAAATAAAAAAGAAAAAATATTTTAAAAAATAAAGAATAGAGTTATTATGAAAAACAAGATTACATAAAGCACTCAGAACAATGCAAGCACTCAATAAAGCAGCAGTTATTACTATTAACAACAAGACTGCCTACTGTGTATCAGACACTGTATTCTAAGTTCTTCACCTGAGCTCCTTCTACACTGTGTCCAATAAATCAAAACTCCAGGGCTGGGGTCCAGGAAATTATTTACATAATAAGAGCCCCACAGGATTCTGACAACCAGTGGATTTAGCAAACACTCTTTAGCACACCACATCAATTCAGTAACACCTTACCAATCTAGTGTACATTCTAGACCTGCTCACTCAGAATTCTCGGTATAACCAGGTACAGCGCTACTTTAAGATCTTAACCAACTCTCAATTGGTAACTCTAGTTACCCTTCCTCACGTATCACTTCATGGTGGCTTTTCCGGAGTACAAGAAAATCCATCTGTTTTAAGGGCTACCTTCAGGCTGGGGGTATAAGTCAGTGGCAGTGTGTTTGCCTAGCATGTATGAGGACCTGGGCTTGACCCCCACTACCAAAACAAAGGAACACCAAATGATATAATAGTCTTGATGGAACAATTTCTTTTCTCTGAGCCACAGCTTTTCTGTATATAAAATGAACACAATGCCAGGTATAGTGGCACATGCCTGTATCAGCACTCAGGAGACTAAGGAAAGAGGACTGCTGAGTTCAAGGCCAGCCTGAGCTAC